TGTATTAAATTTCTCCTCTACCTTTCTAATTTCTCACCTATAACAGTGGCCCACCCATCGAACGAAGTATGTCCGTTTTTTTTAAATTTTATTTCTTCCCCTGGATATTTTTACCTAGATTTATGTAAAAAAATATAAAAATATATTTTTATTCATTATACAGTGAATTCCGCTTAATGTGATTACTGGTCCCAAACCAAATCTTTTGTTATTAATGTTAAATTAACCTTTTATTAGAATCACCAATTACCGGATAATTGAATTACTTTTATGAACATTCTTATCGTTTTTATGGTATTGTATATTCCAAAAGTTACAGGTACATTATATATTATGTATTTAATTTTAATTATATGTATATTAATTGAATATGGATTTTAATTTCAGGTTTATTATAAAAATGAAATAAGTAGATTCTCAAGCACAATCGAAAATAGATAGGTAGGTTCTTTATTTTTAAATTAATTTTTTTTTTTTATATAATCATAATTATTAAATTTAAATTTTGTTTTCAATGGTTGAACGATTATTATTGAATCTATATTTGATTACACACTAACTGCAATTATTATACATTACGCGTAGTAATGTTTGTATACATAATTAGCTACTATTTTTAACTGTTTTAACAGCAAATTTTTTAAACAAATTGACTTTTTCTTAATATGGCGCGCATTTACTAACTTAGTTATAACTTGTTATTATTATTATTACTACTTTATACTTATACTTATTTGTTAATAGTTATTAGATACAATATACTTGTTACCGACATACCCACTTACCACAATATTACGAGTATAAACGTAAATATATAGTAGTTACGTGGACTTCTATATAATATAGAGTGAATGGTACATCCACATAGATTTAAAACTACTCATTTCAGTCATATAAAAATGCGGAATATTTTCAGACCTACCTATTACCTCTATAATATACTATAAAGTATAGGTAATAACGTGTAAAATGTACAAAATATATTTAATACGATTAAATTATCGATAATATAATATATATATATATATATATAAGTATACCTACTACCTAGGTAGGTTACGTTATACTCTACTGATATTATTGCAACAAAATGCTCCTAAACAAAATACCCATACATAGTAGTGACAGTACCTGTCACTAAGCGACAATACGCAGGGGCGTATTTAGAAATTAATAATGGGGGGGAGAGACACAAAAAAAAAAAACAAAAAATTTAATCATACAAATAAATTTAAAAAAGATGGGCATACTCCGCAAGATATGGGTGTGCCACTGTTGAAGATGAGATGTTGGGAAAGTAAAATTTATAAAGCGGAATTTAATGTACTTAACTATATCTGTATGCAACGATTAATCATTGCTAACGAAAAACGATTGTGAGCAGAGTTCGGTTTTACACATTTTAAAACGACGTAATATTTATTATTATCGTAAAAATTGTGTATTAAAATTCTTGTAAAAAAAATATACTTCATAGGATTATGGAGACGGGTGCAGCAACTATTACAAGTAATAAATTGTATGTTTGTAAGCAACGATAATATATTATTTACGAAAAAAACGATTCTGAGCGGAGTTCAGTTGATAGTGATGCTTTGTAAACAATATGTATGTAAAATTATAGTCAAATAATAAAATAAGCTTTAAATGTTTTCTTTAATAATATTTGTTTAATGTTGTACCGATTTTCTTGGTTTTTATACGTTTCCCGAAAAAATCTTAGGAAAATCGAAAAATAACCTTTTCAAAGTACCTCCCCAGTCGGATTTCCTTTAAAAAAAACTGCTATCATTATAAATCGGAGCAATATTTCTGGTAAAAAAGTTACGCACTGATAAAAAAAAAATGTATAATATTTTGTTTTTATCAAATTAGAAACATGTATACATATATTTACGTGGTACCTATTCAAAATGTAATCAATATTCATCTATGACTTTTTATTTTCGTTAATTCGTGGACTCCGGTTGTCGAGATAACTTCTCAGTGTACCAAAAAATATATATTATGTTCAAAAACAAAAAAATTCATATTGAGAGTGAATCGGTGTTACTGTGCCACGAAACCGCATGTGTTTTGTATATACGAGTAGTAGCTAATTATAATGTATGATGTTACCGGTGTCCAGTATCCACTTCAGCATAACGATACGAAGTGACACATCTAATTTGTTTGCCTAATAAAAATTCAAATTTCTCGAAATCCTTCGCCAAGTATGCAACGATAAACCATTGCTTATGAAAAATCGATTCTGATTGGAGTTCAGTTGATAGTGATACCTTGTCAACAATATATATGCCGTTTTATAGTAAAATAATTAAATAGGCATTATATATTTTCTTTAATGATATTTGTTTAATATTGTACTAATTTTCCCGTTTTTTCAGCGTTTTTCTCACGTTTTTCCCATTTATTGGGAAAACTCCGGGAAAAATCAAGAAATAACTTCCTTAAATTACAATGAAAATCAAATATTCTTTCAGAAAATAAGCTACACTAGATACATCGAAGCAAGATTTCTGGTAGAAAACTCTGCACATCAAATCGAGGGGAATATTTCGGTTAAAGTGGTCCAAGCGAGTGATAGCTGGTCTCTAGGTACACCTGAAAAGTGCTCTAAGTACTCTAGGTTTCCTGTTTTGGTAAAAGGGAAAAAATAAGTTCAAACAATTGTTTTCGAAACCCGGGTTTGAACTCGTGGACCCTACGATGACCCTAAGTATGTATAACCATCCGGCTATGACAAACATATTAGAGAGTAGATAATATAGAATTATTTAATATAACATATAATATCTGCATAATATTAGAACTTCAAAAAGCAATAATTTCGAAATTTAGTCAGTTCGTTTAATTCTGACATTACCATTGTTCTTAAATCGGCAATATACATGTTCAAAAAAAAAAAAAAAAATTGGAAAATTAGATTTATTCCACATAATTTTTGAATCAAATGATTTTCGTCATAATTTGATATTAATTTTCCAAAAAAATACTATATCAAACTCAATTTATTTTTTTTCAACACAAAGTAAGACTTTCTCTAGTAAGTCTATGAACATCCTTTTAAATTTTCAAGCATTTCAGTTAAGTGTAACTATTTAACTACAGAATACTTACCGAATAAAAATTACGTACAAAACTCGCAAAATTAAAATGTTTATAAATAGCTGAAAAATAGCTTTAATATTATGAAAATTTTATCATATCTAGAAAAGCAAATATAAATTTTCTATCTGAATTTCAAATTTCTACAAATTTTTTTAACTGAATTACAACAAATAACAAAATTGAAAAATAATAAAAGCAATTATTTTCGTAAATGTCCCGTTTATCTAACGCTTTATCTTGGTTTTTCCAGATATTATGAAAACCGTTTAGAAAACCAAACAATTTCTCAAAAGGACCATCTGGACAACATTCCCTTTCAGAAATGATGCCGTTCGACCAGAAAACTCGCGCCAATTTAAAAATGACAAGAGACCTTTTTTTGTTGAATTTTGAATCTAGATGGTACATTAATAACGCCATTTTCGATTTTCTAAAGCGTTTTCAAAATAATTGAAAACCCGGAAACAAAATGGTAGTAAAAACGGACAAGTATTTATGGCGTGCCGCGGCGCTTTCAATATTAGTATTCAATCTTGATTTATTCAAACAATTATGCCGAATTATGCTCGGTAACTCGCCGGGTCAATCCGGTTCAGATAAAATAACCCGCGTTCGAAACTATTATATAATTATATTAATAAGAATATGTTCATAAAACGGTCCGAAACAATAATCTATCATTTCTAGTTTAGCGATCTTTTGATTTTTTTTTAATGTGTGATTTATACATTTCTATATAACTATATTCTTTTTATTTATACAACAAGAAAGTATCAGAAATCTTGCTTCAATATATTATCAAGTGTGGCAATTTTTCCGAAAGGAGATTGTATATATTTGTTGCATTGAGAAGGATTGCATCATTTTTTGATTTTCAAAAGGATTTTCATAATAATTGGGAAAAATCAGAAAAAAATACCATCGGAAAAACGGCAAATATTTACGTCGTTAACGATTTCATTGTTTTTTAAATTTTCCCAATTATTTTGAAAAGCCCTTGGAAAATTAAAAAATAATCTCTCTAATGAGCCAACTAGAGAAAATTTCCTTTCAGAAACGGTACTATACACTTTATATACATCGGAGCAAGATTTCCTTTCGAAGTTGTTTGCAGAATGAGAGAAAACACACGTCATAGTAAAACCAATAGATCTCTCGCTACGCTCCGAATCTAAAGTAAATACGACCAACGGGGGGGAGGGGAGAGGGTTGAATCCCATGAACCCCCCTCCGTGAATACGCTCATGATACTATAGTAAGTGTCATAGAGATCATAGTACAAAGTGTCCGCGTTTCATGTTTTAAACAACATACAGTACAAAGTGACCGTTTACCCATCCGCGCAGTTACAAAACGGAGCCCTTCCGGACAGATCCACGGCGGTAACGCGCGTGATGTGTGGTTTTCATCATTATTATTGTATTTGTCAAAATTATTTCAAATAATTTTACGAATAAAACACAATTGAACGCCTGTTGTAGCGTATTATTAACAACTAGGTAGTTAATATTATTACCCGTTGCCGATAGTGAACGCGGCCGCCCGTGCGTACAGCGGTAGCTGGTATGTAATAATGTATTATTATGATAATCGGTTCTCGAATACGACGGTTCTGAGAACGGCCGTGCGGGAGAGAGAGGGTGATAGAGAGAGAAAATCAAGAGAAAAGATTTGAAAATCGATAAAGCAAAAAAAAAAAAAATTACGCGTAGCTACGAGCCCACGAAAACAACGAGCTCGTCCTTGAACAGACAACCGCGGTGACGTCCGACGTCTGCGAACCCGACGACCGATAGATAGCGCGGAGGCGGTCGCGGTATGCACGTGCGACAGCTTTTGCCGCGCAAAACCGTAGGCGACCGCGGCGGTTATCGCCCCACCACCCCCGTAGATAAGGCGAGTGGCGAAATCGCAAAAGAGGTTATATTGTCCGGCTCGAGGAGTCAACTCGAAAGTATTTCGTAATTCGATTTGTTTCCACAAATTGAATGTAACATATTATTATATTATCGTTATCGTCTGAACGGTGACGATATTATAATAACGTTTTCGCGCGTTATCGATGTAGTCGTACAAGTGTTGATTTCTGTCGCGTTCCCGGCGTCCTCGTCGCCGCACGGAAGACACACGCTCACCAAGACGACGATTCCCGAAATTTTCTTTGATCGCGACGCGAACTGGTAGGTTGTAAATACCACTTACGAAAATCTATCGCTGCACACACACACACACACAAGTTCGGAGATCTCGTTTGAAATACTTACCTGCTTGCCAGACGACATTTTTTGCCGCAGTCAATTTGCGCACAGCAGTGACCGACGGGAAAAGTGAACGGTTCCTTGGAGACCCGCTGAGAGCCGGCGGTCGAACACGATAATATCAAATAATATTGTAGTTAATCATATTATTATTATTATTATTCGCGCCGTTGCCGTGGTTGTGACTTGTATTGTAGCGGCCGTGGCGGTGGCGACGGCGTTCATTCTACAGCGGGGCGGTAAAGCGGTGGTGGAAGATCAGCGACTCGTGGTAAAAGTAGGTCAGTATACATACGAGTCTCTCGTGAGCCGGTAGCAATACTATAAGAACCATCGTTCGCCGTCGCCGCCAACTATAATTTATCTTTCCGTTTCGTTTTTTGTTGTTGATTTGTTTTTATTCGGTTTGTTTGCATTGGTTTCGCGCGTTGCTACCTCCTCCCCTTGGGCTCTGGACGACTGCTATACCGTGGAGTTTATTTACATTCTGTTTCTCCACAGTCGACGGCCGTGCACGGTCTCGCAGACAGAAGTTGCCAACACCATTTACAACCGTCAACTGTTGTCTTGTACCGACGACAATCGGAACACCCTAGTCCAGTGGTTATTGTAGCCGGCCAATGTTTTTCAGGAATAGCGGACTCTACGATCTGGTCGAAAATTCCAAAATGAGTGAGTACAACATTCTGGTTCAAAACAACGAGCTAATATTATCATTGCGCCAAGTAACGTACACGCTTTGGTTTGGCGATAGTCATTTTATTTTTCTGTACAGGTTCACAATATAAATATTATTAATGGTTACTTAAACTATTGACCGCAATTTATGTTTTTCTAATTGCTAACATGCGGACCGAAATCTCTTTAATCCGTTTGTTAATAACTGTAATAAATGCCCAAATTGATGAGATGTAAAAACATTGTATTTATGAAGTTAATACTAGTGAGAAAATGGATGAAAATATGTCCCAAAGCTAACATTAATAATTATAAACTCTATACCTTTTACTAAGTATACAATAATTACCAGTGATATTATATTCTGATATGTTGTGTTTAAACATTTAACTAATAAATTCATTCTAAATTGTTTCATTATGAAATAATTTTTTGTACTTTATGGAAAATTAGTAAATAATATTTATCTATTTGTTTCATCAATCCTAATAAATTAATCTGTATACAAATTCAATTAGTTTATTATCCTTTATAAGCTGTCGTGGCTAGTTGAGAATTACTGGTACTGGTGATAGTTGATACTTGCATCTTATTTGAGAAAAATAAAAATGCTTACTATTATTTAATCGATAGGTAAATTATAAAATAAATCTAAATTCCGTTTTTTTTTTTTTTAAATAAATATTTGTCTTCTTTTGTATTCAATTCTGGATGGGTTTGTAGCAATTCTCCACTCTTCCTTGTTACTTGCCTTTCTCTTTGCTTCTTCGTAAGAATTATGCCCTTGGCCCTTTATTATTTGTTGCATATACTCCATTCGTGGTCGTCCCCTAGCATTTTTACCTTCTACACAAAAATAAATAAATATTTGTCTGTATTTATTTAATATTTAGTGTTTTAAAGTAGACATTTAATGTAAGTACTTCCATTGAAATTTATTGTAATTGTACAATGAAGAATATAATTCATTGAAATTAATTATGTTTGTATCCCCGTATTATTATTATATACCTATTTTATTTTATAAATAGACACATATTTAAGAAATGCTGTTAATAGTTTAAACCTATAATATAACTATATTGTAAGCGTGTATACGAAAATAAATTAGACACACATAAACAACGATATGATTACGTAGAAATTATATTATATTAGGTAGGTATGTAAAAATATGTATATACTTAATTATTTATGTAGATACTAGACATGTTGGCAACTGCATTTTTAGAGCTTAACTATAGAGTATAGATTACTGGATATATAATATTCTTTAGGTTTTAGTTAGGTTTAGACAATTACAAAAAGATTTTACAAAATTACTGGATAACTTATAGCTTAGGTAGTTATAGTGTACCTACTGAAAAAAAAAAATATGTTAGTGTTAATTTATAGAATTGCCTGGATAAAATTAATGTATTAGTAAATATATCAGAAACACTAATTATAAAAAATTGATTAAAATATAGTTCACATAATGAAAAAACTATAAATATGAATTACAATTTGTTTTTTGTGTTTATTATGAAATTATGTGAATAAATATTTACTGCTGAACTTAAAAACTAAAAATATTTAAAACCAGAAAAGAGAGAAAAATAATAGTAAACATGCCTATTACAATAAAAAGTATTTTGATAGGAAGAAATAATTTTTATAGTTATTTATTTGAACATGATTGATTAAAGAATATAAGAAGTAAAGATAAAGAAATATAGAAATGAGGAATACTTGATTAACTTGTATTCTTGTCAAGAAAATCAGAAGAGGAGAAAAAAGATAGGAAAGGTCAATATTGTCATTTAGTTAATACTATAGCTATTATAGTAGTACATATTTGATTGACAATTTGGTATAATTATGTCATTAATCTAACGATGTTTAGTTTAAACTGAACTGAAATTAAATGTTTAGTTGACATGTTCATATCATATTATATATGACTGTCGTACTCCATGTTAAATTCTATATCTTTTTTCAAGTCCTAGTACTTGAATGTTGAGTTAGTACAAATCAGAAACATTTGATATTTTAATCCTACCCATGCAATTATTATGTTATTATTTGTCTATATTAAATAGTTTTAAAATACAGAGTTGACTTATGTAAGTACCTAAATATTATTAATGAATTAATAAGTTAAACATATTTTATTTTTATATAAATTCTATTTTAATTTATGTAGGTTATAATTGCACTAATATATTTACTAGACATTTTAAAAGAAAAATACTTGAAAGTATGTACAATTCAATTAAAATGTTGATGCTAACTTAAAATGTATAGTTTTTTTATTTTTCAGTTTATGCTTTTTTAGAATATAGAACTTGAGTTTACAATTTTTTTAAAAATATCTATGGTAATATTGTGTATTTTAATTAAAATATCCTAAACTATTTCTTTAGAATAGTTTTGCAATAAAGTTTGCATAATCGAAAAATTAATATTATGATTCTTACTCTACTCATATTATTTATTTTTTATTCTTATAGTTCTTTATATTTTATTCTTTATAGTTTTTTTTAACTGATCTATATTTTATACAATTCATATATTTATTCTTTTTTATAATTAAATTTATAACAGTACATCATTCAGTTTTAATTATATATTTTTTATTCAATTTCAAATAAAATACCCTTCTTTACTCCAATTTAGGTATTAAATAATTTTAATAAATCATTAATATGAGCCTGAGTTTGGAAGAAATAACCAGTAAAACTGTTGATAGAACACCTCCATATAGAGGTATCTCCCATGTACTCTTTAAAAAAAAAAAAGTCATTATGAAGTATTAGATTTTTATTTATCAACATTTTCAGAATAATATTCTCTTGAAATTTTTAAAATTAAAAATATTATCGATTACCATATGCAAATTAAAAGCTAATATTGTTTTTTAAGACATTAAATGAATGGTTTATTTCAGAGAACCCCTAAAAAAAAAAAACTAACAAAAATTGACTTGTTTGCGTTTAATTGTTAGTTTTATTGGATGTAGAAGCATAGTTTACAATGAAAAGCCCATAAAGAACCTGTTCCCTTGCCTCTTTTCTATGTGGCCTTGAAATGTTCATTTACTGCAGAAACCTTTACCAATAAGTACCGTAGTATAAATGTGTTTTATTTTTTTTTAATAATTATCTACTAATTTATCTCATTTCTATTTGGGTTTCTGAAATATTAAAATTTGATTTTTTCATTAAAAATATATTAGGTATTATTATCATAGTGTTTAACAACTAGATGTTTTTAGTTATATTTTAGTACTATAATAATAGGATGTTTGATGAATTACAGTGGAAAAATGTAAAAATAAACAAGACACATTAAGGTTATCTATAGCTGAAATCCAATATGTGCAAATTACAACAATTTTTCCAATCACTCGGTTTGTCATTGAGTTGTAAGAGAGAGTAGTAGTTTTTTTTTTTTTTAATTGATTATCTCAAAATGTGAAAAGGACTTGGGGGTTTTCTGAAATAAACAATTCAAATATACAATAATAAAATAATAGAGTAAAAACAAAATTATTAAAATTGTTAATACTGGTAAATAAATATATAAATAAAAAATAAAAAAAAATGAATGAATGCTCTGCCTGGAGTATTATGATAAGTGTATTACAGGACCAGTTTTAAATTAAAAATTCATAATCCGGTAAATCACAAAGTATTCATTCATTTTTTTTTTTTATTTATATATTTATTTACTATATTAAATATACATTCATAAATATAAATATAAAAATGCATAATAGATATTTTTGTTTTATTTAAAGTTTTCAAAAGTAGTATGAAAAAAAGCCATATTTCTTTCATGATCTCTTTTTGTGTTAGGTATAAAATTAATTTTGAAACATTTCAGTTTCGGTTTTAGAATATAATTTCATTAAGAAACTATTTATTGAAATAAATATTCAAAACAAAAGATAATGTAAATTATCTGTGTATTTTAATATTGAAACTCTTGAAAGATGACTCAATCTATTAATAGAGCATACAGTTTTAACAATAATTTTATGTTAGATGTTGTTTAGTTCAGTAAATAATAATATGATAGTGTATCAGTTTATTATATGTACATTGTTATTTAAAATCATCCTTATACAACAATACTAGTTTAACAATTTGAATTCAACTGACCCAATTTGTTATTTTTCGTAAATAAATTATATATAAATTATAAATATAAATATATATAAATTATAAATATATATACAGAGTTTCCCACAAAGATATATCCATTGTAATATCTCCAGAAATATAAAGATAATCAAATTCTGTTTTTTTTGTTGATATTACTCATAGGGATGAGGACTACAAATATTTATATTGCAATTCATTTTTTATGCTTTGTTAAAAAAATAACTTTATTTTATTATTTTTGTAAAATTTAAAAATTGTATGGTTTTTTCTTCTGAAAATCTTGACATATCAACTACCTTGTTTCATTAAATCCATGATTTTTAATAATTTTTTAAAGTTCAGAGAAAGGAAGTGCATAGTCAATTATTTTGTAATAATAATAATCAATTAGAGAACGCGATTTCAGCCTACTTTATAATTATAGGTATTTTTTCTGAACTTTAAAAATTGATTAAAATCACAAATTTAATAAAAATAAGAAGTTGATACATCAAAGTTTTTAGAAAAATAAACTATAAAATGGCTATCTTCAAATTTTCAAAAATAATAAAATAAAGTTATTCTTTAAATTTTTTTTTTCAAGTATAAAAAATTAATTTCAATATTAATATGTGTAGTCTTTATCCCTGTGAGTATTATATATATATAAAAAAAAAAAAAAAAAAAAAAAAAAAAAAACAGAATTTGATTATCTTTATTATCTCCGAAGATATTACAATGGGTCTTCATGGGACACCCTGCATATAATATTATTAATACCGTGTAAAGATGTATTTTAATTTTAAATTAATAATCAACTGCACCTAATGTATTCTTTTTTTTCTTTCATTAATACTTTTGCTTTATTGCCTATTTTTGTCATTATAGATTTAAATAGAACTCCTGTATTTTATATGATAGTATTGTTAATAGTTTTTAAGAATAATTAAAAAATACCTAGAATTGTAAATAAGTAATCATAAAATATTATTGGACATTAAAATTAACATTACCTACTCAATATTACAAATAAAAAAAACAAAGCCTTTAATATGTTGTATATCTTTTTTCATAAGAACATGATTCTTTAATATTGGTTAGAATTTTGTTTTTTAATGTAAAAATAATTTTCAAAATTTCAATGTCTTAATACTAATCTATACATTTAACTATTTAAAGTTAATTTTAGGTTTTATGTAGAAACCTATATAATATTTATACTTTTTTAAATTAAATTTACATTGTTTATTAAAATTAATGTAAAATTATATAATATTATTTTGTTTAGTTTAATAGATAGATAACATAATATGTGATTAACATTAAGTTAGATTATAATGATTTTTTAGATAAAAACACTCCAAATAAATTGAATTAGATATATCCAATTTATAAAAAATAAAATTTACTTAAAATGTATTACAGGTTCAGGCATATACATTATAGGTAATAATATTTTAAAATTTAATCCAATTCAATGTTTTGCAATTATTATTATTATTTCTTATTTGATAATTTACATATCTATGTATTTTAATTTTCAATAGTAAAATTCCAGTTCCATTGGTTGGTATATTCTTATTTTAAGAGTTTATCTGTTGAGACATTGTTAAGTGTCACAGTATAAGTGTTTACTATGTAGTTACTGTATAAATTTACTGAAATATAGTTGTGTCATATTAAAAAATATAAATATTTAAAAGTAAATGAGAAATTGTTCGATAACTATATCTAATCTAAAGATGGAGTAAGTGCACTTAAACAAGAAATATTTAAATCCATTACTTTGAATAAGTACTTAGTGGTACTTATGATGTTTCTAGAAATAAGTACATAGAATTAATATTTTTCTATTTCAGTATTTTTTTTTTTTAATTTGTATTATAGTTTTAATTTTGTTTATGTTTGTCCATTTATAATTCTGTCATCAGGTCATATAGTGATTACAAAAAAATAGATTGTTTGAAATTCATTTATTTGGAAAATTAAAGGTCTCACCATATGAAGGTAAAGTTATCCGTTCATTTTAAGTAACAATATTTATGATCAATAAATCTCAGTTTGTTCTACAAACCTTTCTGCAATGAATTTGTTTAACTGTTTTCAGTGATATTAAAATCATTGTTTTATTGGTATGAAAATTAAACTGATTAATTTAAAATGATGAAACATCAGATACCTATTTAATTTCTTTTATACATTTCTTACATTATAAATTCTAATATAATTTCTTTTATTGCCATTTAATAAATTAAAAATATGTTTGCATCAAATATTTTTGGGCTATTCTGACCTATTCTTTATTCAATTTTTTTTTTCTAGAATAAAAACAAAATTATATTGAATGTTTTTTAAATGCTTATTAATTAAAATAAGTTTCTACTAAAAGTATTTTTTAACCATTTAGTAAGTCAGATTTCTATAAAATAATAATTTCAGTTAATTGATAAAATTCACTTTTTAAAATTTTCTTTTATTAGATAAAAAGAAAAAAAATAGAATATGGAATGTGTAACAGTTCACAGAATAACTAAAATTATTTTTTGAAATTTAATTTGGTTATGGGTCTTAAATTTAACAAAAAAATAAAAAAGAATACATAATTTTGTTGAACTTCTTAATGTGTCTTAAAATAATTTTTTTGTTCTTAATTTAGATTAATATTAAGTTTTTTTTTTTTGTACTGAGGTTTCAACATTTATTTTATTTATTTATTTATTAATTAATTGTAATGTGTTCTGTGGTAAATTTGACTTCAACCAGTTTATTTTGTTTTGAAACCTATTTTGTAGTGTAGTGCCCCTTCTGTTAACTAGCTTATTGTTCTGCTTGTTGATCCAATTTGATATTTATAGCACACTATGATTATGGATTTGTCTAATTCACAAGTTATTAAAAATGACTAGTTTTTTAAGTAATTATAAAAGTTTTAATAAGTCATATGTTAATACAGCTAAGAACACTGTTTTAGTAATTAATTAAAATTAATGTACAAGACTTGAAAACTTTTTTTAATTCTTACTTTATAAAAACAATTAATTTAAAAAGAAGTCAACCATTACTACTAAGTGAAATAGATTACCTATAATTTTTTTTATGATAGCTTGATAGTTAAATACCAACTAATTAAATTTAATGAATTTTATGCATGATCAATTTTTAGTATTAATGAATTCAGTTAATTAATTATTTTAATACCTCTTGATAAAACTAAATTTCAATTTCCGTGCATATATTATTTTTATCATACATAACAATTATTTTTTTCTTAGTTTAATTTTAATGTTGTTTATTTTTTAGACTAATTGCCATAATAATGGTAACAATAAATTATATAATTATTGAAATATAGATAAGCCCCCATTAAATAATAATTAGTTAATAAATCACCATACAGGATATTTAAGAATTTAAGTAAAAAATAAAACTGCATTATAGTGGACATCAATGAAATTTAAAATTTAAATAATTAAGATACAAAACTTGGTTGGAATTGTGTATTGCTTTGTTTGTGTAATATTTGTAAATAAACAATTTCAATGCTTGTTCTTTTCTTTTTTTTCTATAATGTATTAAGTGCTGCATGAAACTTTTAGTGTATCTAAAAAAGTTTCAGAGAACATAATGCCAATTTTTGAACAGTATATTTGTGAATGTTTGTTTTGTGTTTGTATGTTATAATTCAGTAAATGTGTAAACAATTTTGTATAAATTCCAACTATCATAAAGTAAAAAATAAATCCGTTAGTATTAAGGTGATTTTTCTAATTAGGTACTCATTAATTTATATAGTGCTAGCACCAATGTATTTTTAGTATGAGTGCATCTTTATTTAAATCAACTTTGTTGCATGGAATATGTTCAATTTAAAATTTTGTGTGTAAATGAATATATTTAAAAAAAGTTTTTAAATTTTTTGTGTTGAAGTTATTAAGTATTTTTTCAAATTTTAGTTTTAAATAAAAAATTCCAATGAAATTAACTATTTTAATGATTTTTAAAGTACTCGAAAATAAAGTAAATACTTTTAAGATGGCTTTTATAAAAAATAAATATTCATATAAAACTATAATATCTTTAAGTCATTTTATATTTATTGATAGGTATAATATTTACACCAATATAATATAATTTTTGTTAATTTTATTAATATAGGTAGGTAATAGGCGTATTTAATTGCTTATTAGTGTTATCTTTTCAACTTTGGTCAGTTAATTATTTTATTTTATTTTTTATTCAGCAGAGTTAATAGATATTAATAAATAAATTTTATTATATTTTACTTATAACATTATGATTTACATATATTTATTTTTTTTTTATATTGGTTTATTTATAAGCTGTTAATAGTCATAATTATTATTTTTTTATTAGAAAAAAAAATGTAAATAAATTATTTATTTTAAGATATTCCTCTGAATTTTTTCTTTGCCCCATCTTGTGATTTATTATGGTAAAAATCACAATTTATTAAAAATGAAATATAAGTGTGAAAATACAGAGTGGTTAATGTAACCCAAGAATCTTATTGGTTTTTTCATTACCCTTAGGATGTTAGGGATGAAACCACTACCTCATTTTAATTTTTTAATGTCAATCTTTATTAAAAATTTTATAAATATATGACGTTTTGGTTTAAATACATTTTGGTTTTTGACATTTTAATCATCTTCTGAGTGTCTTGTGTTACATTTATCACCTTGTATCACCTCTATAAACATATCTTATTTATTGTATTAATTATTTTTTTATGGGACAGACAATCAATCACTCTATAGTAATAATGAACAGCTTCGCTTGCCTTGTTACTTCAATGTCAGACAGAATTGCAATATTTTGATAATGATTTTATACGGGTGATCATTAATAAGAAGCTCATTATCCTAGAAAATATTAACTTTTTTAAAAATTTACCCCACATGAATTAAGCTACACTCCCCTTACTAAAACTTTAATGTGGATTATCTCATCAACGGATTGATGTAAATGAAAATTTTAAACAGTGAAATGTTTTAATATAGGTTACTAAAAATCAAAAGTTACGTAGTAGTTTCACCCCCAAAAATAAGAGTGACAAAAATAATAATAATGTAACATTATAGAGCTAGTTGTGCTTTAAATTTTCTATAAAAAATTTTTTTTTAAAAAGTTGATATTTTCCGGGATAATGAGTGTCTTGTGATAGATTGATTACCCCATATTTACCTATAATTTCTTAATTTTACTCTTCTAATCTTGCTTTGTTTAACTTTTTGCAACATGGTGTAAAATTGTTGACCTAAAAATAATGTAATGAATTTGTTCTTTTAAACGTTTAAATTTATTATGAAAAAAATCACCTTAACACTGCTTTGTTTTAAAAAAATCATTGTTCCTTAATAAATATCCAAATTTAAAATCGTTGAATTTTTTTATTTTACATAGTATAACCTAATGTGCACAAATTTGTTTAAAATAGCATGCCTATATTATTCTAAAACTTACTGTATCATGATGACTAGGGTGGCTCTTTTATGGGTCAATGTTGAATTTTAATGAGTGGACCTTCTAAAATGGTCCAAATAAATATTGTTGTAAAAATTGTTGTATACAAATATACATTCATTTTCCCCTATACTACCTTCTAAACTTCTCACCTATAACAGTGACTGCACACGTTCTCATTTTCCATTACAGCTTTTTTTTATTTATTTATTTGGAATCGTCTTAGCCACCCATATGATGATTGTATTAACAAAAAATGAAAAAAAAAGACTTAATATTGTTGGTGGGTGTGCCACTGTTGTAGGTATGAAGTTGGGGATGTAGGATACATAATTATTTAAATTATATCTGTACATATCAATAAATCAATGCTAACGAAATATATGATTCTAAGCGATGTTTTTTAAAATTTTTTTGAAAAACTATAAAAAATAGTCCTTTTTTTTGACCACTTAGTACAAATTATGATTAATCTGGAGTAAAATAATCACACATTTCTACTCGGGCAAAACAGTTTTATACACAAATTAAGAACGTAAAAAAAAAAATTTTTAACGCTTGTAAATAGTTGTACAAATCGCCAGAATATTTTGAAAATTTTACCACGTCTATAAAAGCATCAACATCTCTTTAATCTAATTACAAGAAAACAAGTTAGGAAAGGCTACTTTATGAGTGTTCTAAATTCCCATTTTCTAAACGTATGTTTGACAATTAACACTAGTTCAATGTTATATAAATTAAAAAGAATCTGGGAACTTTGATATGGTTATGTGTTACGATATCTAATTAAATTAAACGCTTTAATGGACTCAATCAGATCATACCTATCAAATTAGTATTATTACTACAAATGAACAACTTTCGTAACCTATCGCCGCCGTATTTATTTAAAATAATTATTTTAACTATGTACTGATAACTATGTTTTATAATTAATTCAATTTTATAAAATATTAAAATATTTAAATTGATTAGCCCAGACTATATATCTACCACCTTGGCATGAGATATATTTTAATATACTACGCAGGAATATTATTAATAAAATCAATTTTATTTTTCGTATCATATACCTAATATTATACGTAATTTAACGTAAATCGATTTGTATTAATTCAAATTGTTCCGATTTTTAACAGGTCGAAATTGGTAAAATGAACGTTTAAATAATATAACGTACATTTGAAATGGAATATAAATTAACCGGTGTGTGGTGCTTACCTGTGGAGTTATTGTACGTGAATCGTGTGCGTGTGTACTGAAATGTCGAAAATCTCAATAGTTTTAATAATAATACTGATTTATTATAATATCAACAATAATAATAATAGCGTAGTAGTAGGGAGCCAAAAAATAATTGTCTTCTGCTTCGTCGCATGCGTTTGAAAAATTAATTCCACCAAATATATGTTTTACTAATACCTACTTATTGCTGTAGTTGTACGCATCTACATAATTCCTAATAATAATATAGTCATAGGCGGAAATCCGTTGAAAATCAAATGTTGAGGGCTATTGTTGTCCGTAGCTCTCCAAGCCTCCCCACTCCGTGGTATATTTTTTAGGCGAATTACATTTTCGGGTGGGGGGGTTAGTCCACTTCCATTTCCGCCCGTGAATATATTTAATGTTGGAAATATTGTAATATTATGTTTTGAACTAACGTGTTTTTTTTTCTTACACGATCTATCTTTCATTTTCATTGTCTAATAACACTAAAAAATGTAATGTTTATTGTTCACGTTGTTTTTTTTTTTTTTTTTTAACACGCGGTCTTTTCACAAGATTTTTCATAAATTTTTGTGTAAATGTTATACTTACGTAATTTTTTTTTCGTTTCGTACAGACACTCTAGAAGAAACTCTTCGCCTGATAAGGAGGTCTTTGAACTCTCCTCAAATGGACGTGGAGGGTGCTCACTATGATCAAAACATCACTCACTTGATCGTCGTGATGGGTGCATCGGTAATAATATTATGAACTTATTTATTTTTTCGAATTAAATTTCCATATATTCGAAATGTACTAACTGTACTACTGTTTCACAGGGCGATTTGGCCAAAAAGAAAATCTACCCGACCCTTTGGATGTTGTTCCGTGATAGGTTGATTCCAGATAAAACTTTCATTTATGGATATTCCCGGTCCAAACTCTCATTGGACCAACTGAAAACTAATGTCTCACCATACTTAAAAGTATACGGTTGTTTACGAAATAATAATGTTAATGTTTCTGTTTGATTGTAGTTTCTTTTTAAAAATATTTTAGTGCAATGAAGACGAGAAAGACCGTTTGGCCGAATTCTGGTCGTACAACTTCTACATCGCCGGAGCTTATGACGGATCAGCTGATTATCGGTCTCTAAATGCAAATCTCGCCAAGCACGAGATCTCCGGAATCTCAAACAGATTATTCTATCTGGCCATACCGCCTTCATTGTTCGAGGTGACCACCACTCATATTCATGAATCGTGCATGGACCACAAGTAAATGGATTGATATTTAACCCTCTCTTGGTTGCAGAATTGTCTAAAAGACCATCTGTGTTCAGTCATTTTAATTTTTAAATTCAAAAAAAGTATCAGTTTTTTTTTTAATTCATAGTATCTACCTTTTTTATACGTACAGATAATTTTGAGGTATAAATATCTAATATAAATGTTTTACAATTGCTGAGAAATTATTTTACAAGACTGTGTGTCATAGAAATATTTATATATATATATATTTTTAGCTTATATTTATTTACATTTATTATTATCATAATAATCATGTGTGACTAATCAATTTATGTGATAGATATAAGGTTAAATTACCACTAATAATAAAATAATACAATTATTATATTTTCAGAGGATGGACACGTATCATCATCGAAAAACCGTTTGGTAGAGATGCTGCCAGTTCATTAGCACTGAGTGACCATTTGGCCAAGTTGTTCAACGAAGATCAAGTGTATCGTATTGATCATTATCTGGGAAAAGAAATGGTGCAAAATCTCATGACGCTCAGGTACTGAGTAATATTATTTTAGATATGTATTATAAAATATTATAAGTATCCATTTTTGATTAGATTTGGAAACCGAATATTGAACACTGGATGGAACAGAGACAATATCGCACAAGTGCAGATCACATTTAAAGAACCTTTTGGTACTGAAGGACGTGGTGGGTATTTTGATAATTTTGGCATAATTCGAGATGTCATGCAAAACCATTTGCTCCAGATACTCAGCTTGGTTGCCATGGAGAAGCCAGCCACTATACATCCCGATGATGTTCGAAACGAAAAAGTTAGATTTCCTAATTGTGTTGGACATGTTCTGTAATATTATATGTGTATGTGTCCTGTTTAGGTAAAGGTCCTTAAGTGTATACCTATAGTTCAGTTAGATGATGTGATTTTGGGTCAGTATGTTGGCGATCAAGAAGCTAAGGAGGATCATAAAAAGTTTGGTTATTCTGATGATAAAACAGTGCCAAGTGGATCAAGAACAGCTACCTTTGCATCAGCCGTATTAAAAATCAATAATGAACGTTGGGATGGAGTGCCTTTTATATTGAAATGTGGGAAAGGTACACCATGCGTTAATAATTGTATTTTTTCAAATCTTATGTTATGACCTATTAATTTTAATAACTTTACAGCATTGAATGAGCGCAAAGCTGAAATCCGAATTCAATATCATGATGTACCTGGTGACATATTTGGAGGAGTTTTGAAAAGAAACGAACTTGTTATTCGCGTACAACCAAATGAAGCCGTTTATGTTAAAATGATGACTAAAAGGCCGGGTATTGGATTTGAAATGGAAGAAACCGAACTGGACTTGACCTATACTAATCGTTATAAGGCAAGTTGAATATCATAAATAACCTGGTCAAAACAAAGCCCTTAAAAAAACTTTTCTAATGTTATTACTTTTTACTAGAATGTTAAATTACCAGACGCCTATGAACGATTAATATTAGACGTATTTTGCGGTTCTCAAATGCACTTTGTACGTGCTGATGAACTGTCTGAAGCTTGGCGTATATTTACTCCTCTTCTACATGAAATTGAATCTACTCATCCTGAACCATTATTATACAAGTTGGTTTATTATTAACATTATTATTTAAAAACTGTATAATTAAATTAAATTTTTTTATTTTCATTAGGTATGGGTCTCGTGGTCCTGCTGAAGCAGACAATCTCTCTCTTGCCAACAACTTTAAGTATTATGGATCTTACAAATGGGTGAAACCTCATTAAGTCACTTATAACTTATTGTTGGGATAGTATATGATTTTTGTTTTCTGAACATAATTAAATTTTAATTTATTGAAAGATCTGCCATATAAATCATTTTTAACATTCCGTTAATGACATGAAATTAATCTAATATAGATTATTATCATTCAAGTTCCAATTTGTTTTTTGTGATGCAATTGATTTCTTTTTTTCTAAACATTTAAATATAGTTTTATAAATCTTGCATAACTCCTTAATAATATCAATGATTTGTAATATTGTAAAAAAAACATGGCCAAACCATTGTTATTAAATATATCAAATAATATTTAGTATTTACTGGGTGTCTTTTTAAAAAAAATATATAATATAATATTTTTACACTACAATATTACTTGATATATTTTCAATTCACAGATTTATTTTTGTTACAATTGCATAGTTATGATATTTTATATTTTCTAGAATTGTTGAAATTGCAGGGTAATGGTATATCCATTGTTTAAATTGTTTACATTGTTACATTGTCCATTTGTTTAAATATGTAAAAATTTAATTGTGAATCAAATATTTAAAATAGAAATTAGTATTTAAAGAACAATAATAATAAGTGCCTTGAACTTCTTTCAAATGACCGGTGTAATGTATTTATATTAAACTAAGCTATTGAAATAATTATTGTAGTATTGGATCGTTGACTGATTTCTATCTTTTAAATGGCAATGATTAGCATCAGGCGATCTGCATTTCAATCGTATTCACCGCCTACTGTTATGCTGATATTTTGACCAATGGTTTGTGTTTCATGGTACCAAATGTTTGTGTCCAACACAACTAAAAAAAAAAAAAAAAACAAGTAGTAAAACAAATTATTACAAAATAAGTCATCAGTTTTATTTATATATATGTGTTACATTTGATGCATATTCCTACCTATATTATTTCAATCTATATTATAGTGTGTTTAAGTATCCTTACCTATTTAGTGGTGTATTGCATAAGGAAATTATAATATAGGTAGAGTTGTGTAGAGAATTTATTTTTAAATTTTAGATTCTGCGAAAAACTTTTCTTCTAGAAATACTCTTATCTTTTGATTTAAATTTAAAAATTTTTACCTGGACCAAATGAATGCATTTTTAAGTAACGCGTTTTTTTTGTGCATTCCTAGATCTCAATATTTTTGTTTATGTATTTATTGAAATGATATTTATATCTGTTTATTTCTTTCACTCTACATGATATCCTTTTTTGGATATCCTTGAATATCTTGACTGATATTGACTGATCTTCAAAGGTTTTAAATCTTTGAGCTGTGTACAGTTTACTTATCTATATATTTTAATCATAACTAATTAAATTGCACATGACTTAGGTGTCAACCAACATCGGTCCTCTTTTGTATTTGATTTCTTTGATTGAGATGCAGCCCTACTTATTTATTATTATTGTAAATTGATGTTATTATAATAGCATTGACAATGTGTATGTAATCACTATTAGATTGGTACAATGGTTGATTGACGGGATCTGATAAGACTAATTTTAACCAATTTTAACTATTTTTAATCGGGTAAATCACAAAATCGTTTAAAATCAAACCATCATGTACACTTATTGAGTTATGAAACGGGCTCTTCGACAAGGTTCCCGGCAGGTTTAATTGACAATTTTCACATTAGTTTACCGCGTATCAGACTTAGAAAATAATCATAGAAAATCTCAATTAATTAAGGTCTATTTCAATAAATTGTAATAAAAGACAAAAGTCTTAGAATCGAAACTAGTTTTTAATTAATTGTCTTTTTCCACAAAACACAGCATGCAGTATTTAAGTGATTAGAAATTAAAAGTAATTTTGGTAAATATATACTAAGAACAATTTTTATGTATTGAACATAAAGACTCTTTAACGGTAAAGTTTCCAGCAATACCGATCAAGATGGGAATACATAATAATATAATAATTATAAAAATAATATACAAAAATCACAACAACATTATAATCATGAACAACCATGAGCGTAAGGCAACTGAAAATAGTCTGAAAAGACTAGGTATTGTTATAAAACTTATAGTAATAAAATTCAATTTAATTAATAATAAAATCAACTAAAATACTAAACAAATCATGTATAAATACATAATGATAAATGCGTATACCTAGTGTAGAACTGACTAAACCTCTAGAGCGCATACCGAATTAACAGCGTTTGATTTAGTTTATTTTTGTATATTCATTAAACAATTATAATGATCAAATCTGAACACTTATTAAAAATGTAATTTATTAAAATTGCACACCATAGTATATTTTGTCCAAAAGTGTGCGTTTTAATTGAAGTTCAGTATGTTTTCAAAGATGTGGGTATATTATTTACGGGTTTTTAAGTTTATTTTAAACAATAAATGTTATTACACTTATTTACATCTATAAAAATAAAAACAATTAATTTGATACTAATGTTCTACCTAGTCGGTATGTAATTTTTGTTTTAGGCTAAAGAATATAACTAAATGTTAGAAAAATAAAAAACCAATTTTTTTATATATCTCTTTGAAAATAACGAATAAAAGATGGAAACAGTAAGTTTTCATTTGTTTAAATTTATTTTCATTAATTATACCCAGGTACCTTGTACCTATCTATGTATCAAGTGTAGTTTATTTTTTGAAAGGAAATTTTAATTCCACTGTAATTTAAGGGGATCATTTTTCGATTTTCCCTGGAGTTTTTTCAACAAATGTAAAAAACATGGGCAAACGGGAAAATGTACGAAATGTAGGTATTAGTTGACAAACATTTCGACCTTCATTTTTCCTGCGAACAATTTTTCTACCAGCGATTTACAATAATAGCATTTTTTTTTTTCTGAAAGGAAGTACGACTAGACAAGTACTTATTATTAATTAATCGTACAACACAAGTAAACCATATTAATGAAGTGGATACTGTTTGGGTAATCCGTCTTTTTGGACAGAAAATAGTGTGAACAATAGAAATCCTGAATAAAGCGTAGAGACGGTGAAATATTGGTGGCGAAATAATAATAATAACGAATACCCAATTCATGAATAATGTAATGTGATAATGGATATTGCGTTTTAAGAAAAATGCGCGATAATAATTACCGCGCATTTTCGGGCGAATGGTCAAAATTAATAGTGACAGCGAGTGATAATGTTGGTGGTTATTGTCGGTAGGACGACCGGTGCGAATTATTTCGTGCAATCAAAACGAAACGACGCGGCGTGTTGAGGACGGTCCCCGTTCAGACGCGGAGTTCAAATAAATCCGACAATTACGTAATATTCAAAACCCGACGTGTTCGCGCGTTCCCGACTAACGTTTTCCGTCGTTGTTCCTCGTCTAGTATTCGATTCGACGGGCCGTCGGATTTCCAACCCGAACGTTCGGCGGCACACACGGATCGAAACGTTAAACGTGTAGGTAGGTACCCGCCGGTTTGGTAACCGCTATCGCGACACCCGCACACCCGGGGTACCAGTCTGACGGCCGGCCGATTTCGTCGTCTCTTTCACTCGCCGTAAAACACGATAAGAACCCGCGCGCGCCGTTTCCGAATTAAACGACGGCACGGACGGATTTACGACCGATGGTACGAAAACGGCCGTCTCCGCGTAAAGTGTCCGATCGGCGAACGGCGAGCACGTCGGGTTTGCGCCGGCGGGCGTTTCCGTACTCGTTCCGTCCCAGGCGCGCCCGACACGGGACCGACGGGGCCAGGAGGCGTTTATACATTTACGGCGAAACGGCGCGGCGTACCGAAACGCGACGTGGTCTATTGTGGAGGCGGCGCCTCTATGCACTTGCCGAGCGTTTGGCCGCGCGCGAACGGGCCGTTCGAAAAAAATGAATTATCGGAATGAAGAAATCGCATTTTCGTTTTAACGCTAGTGTGTAGGTTGACCGGCGACGAACGGACGAACGGCACGTTTCCGGGATATCGACATTTTGATCTGTGCATTGCGTTTAACGTCGGCACGTAACGCGGGCAAATGTTGAGTGAGAAGAAAAAAAAATTGTAAAACTCGGCGAACACCTCGGATCGGTTTTTATCAAGAACACGGTAACGTTGATTCAATTTATACCTATTTAATATAATATGTTTAGCGCAATTAATTAATCATCGACAATAATAACAACGCTGTTACCTATCGCGTTATAAGACTGACGACCGTAATGATAAAATAGTCGGTATTGCGGTAGAGTTGATTGTATGCGCACAATCAACGGCGACGATAATAAACCTAGGCGGGGTAGGTATAGAAATCGTTTTTCACGCAGTCCGCGGAGTATTGCTAATATTACACCACGCAAGCAGAGAATAGGTTTGTTTTTTTTTTTTTTTGCTAGGAATTTTCACTTGGGGACATGGCGAACTGGCGGCTGGGCTCTGTCGCACTGACGCCCTGCCAGAGGCGCGGATAGACATGATCCGAACGGCCCGGGAAAAACGGAATCTAGCGGTCCGCACGGTCATATCCGAGATTCAACAAAAAGATTACCTCGACCTCGAGCGCACCGATGGCGCCCACCATTTTTGTTTTTTTTTCTGTTAAGAAAATATTATAAATTTAATATTAACCGTTACGACGGTATCTACACGAAGTTCCGAAATTTGAACTCTGTATAATAAGGGAGGAGTTTAAATGATAAACAAAATAAAATAAAAACAAACAATTTTCATTTTCATTATTTTTGGTTAAGCATTTCGTAAAATAAATGTATTGATGAAGAATCATTTCTTGTTTCTGGTACTTATCCCCATAGGCGTACGCAGGTCTTCTTGACAGGGGAGACAATGATTTTTAAAATCAAACCATACGCAAAAATCATAAGCAAAAGTGATGCCAATATTTTTGAAGGTGGCTCAAGTCCTAATAATATTGATTATGTATATTTAGTATTTACTTGACGAGGACTTTATTTTAGGAGGCTTGGTTGTATATTCGGGAGGAAGGGGGTCAAAATCCTCCAAAAGTTCTTCCTCTTTTTGTACCAATGCATAATATTAAGAGTAACTTAGGGTTTAACATTTAAATAAAAATCTATACCTAACATATTTTGGTGGGAAATCTCGCAGTGGAGGCCTCCCCCGTGCCCACACTTGTTTCTTCTTTCCTGGTCTATTTTCGAGTGATTATAAGTACTTAAAAAAAAATTGGAGTTAAATTTTATTAGATTAATTACGAAAAATATATACGAATATGTTCACCTAAATATCACTACCAGGGTGGCAGGGGAAATGTACGTGACTGTAAAGTATATGTTCATTTTTAAATATCAAATATAAATAATATATTTAGGATAACGGGGACAGGTGCAGCCACAGTTATAGGTACCTAATTCAATGTATATCTGTTAGCTAAGATTAACCATTGCTAACGACAAAACGATTCTGAGCGGAGTTCTGTTGATAGTGTACCTAGTTGCTTTGTCAACGATATGCATATCATATATTATGGTTAAATAATCACATAGGCAATATATGTTTTCTTTAAAAATATTTGTTCAATATTGTACCTATTTTCTCGTTTTTCCTACGGTTTTCCCATGGTTTTTCCCGGACTTCTCATTTATTGGGAAAACTAGTGAAAAACCAAAAAAATGACCTCTTTATAGTACTTCACCAGTCAGATAGCCTTTTAGAAAAATTGCTGGTAGAAAAGTTGTTCACAGAAAAAAAAAAAAAATAAACATCTTTGTAAAACCATAAGCTTTTTAGGTAATAACTCGATAGAGACCATCCTACCTCCCACCGTAGATATACAGTCGTGAAACTTCCAAATTTTTACATTATTATATTAAATATTATACATAGGTACCTGTTGTTTTGTTTTAAATTTAATCTATACTCACAAAGGTAATACTCAAAACTTGAATTGAATTGCATGTTTATCAGAGTATTCATTGATGTTCGTTGTATTTTGTGTTTATGAGAATATATGGAAAATATTTGTAAGTTTTTCAGGATTTTTATTTCTTAGATATAATAATATGAATATAAATGTACAGACATCCTTAACGGTGTTGTAAATGATTCACTTTGGTAATACAACTTTAAATAATGTGGCTTATTATTTATGGTATGTTTAATAATTTAATGACACCCTTATATCAATATCGATATCAAACCAATGCCATCTAAAATCACAATAGGTAGGTAGGTAAACAGTAGGTACTGACATAATTAGATAAATTAGAAATATATTCATAATTATAGGTATAATTTAGTGAATATCAATGTAGACCTAAATTAATAATATATATTTGTTTAAAGTTAAGCTGTGAACAAATAAATTATTAAATTGTTCAGTTCAAGATGTTTTAGTTAATGAATATTGAATATCAATAATTATCTTTGTGCACCGGGATTAATTGAAAAAAAAAACTGTCTTATCAATTCTCTTATTATTGGATTTAATAATAATAATATATCACCAAGGGTAATAATGAGAGTGAACACACCTACAGTTTTCAATAATTACTTCTGTAAAAAATTTCATTAAATAAATTTAAAAAAAAACAAAGTACCAAAACAGGCGATGTGTAGTATACCTACTTTATGTTTGAGCGTATGCTTATTATGCAATATTATTTTTATTAATTAGTTAAAAAAAATATAATCACGAATTAAAAGTCACGTAAAATAAATTTTACTTTTAAAATGTGAACAACTGCATATAGTAGGTTTGAGAATTTAACAAAAAAGGGTTTGCGTGGTTTGGTTAAAGTGTGGTTTATGGGGTATAACTAGGGGAGGTTGGGTGTTGTAACTCCTCCACGCGTTACTTTATATTTTTAGCTATAGGTAAGATTAAAAAGGTTGTAAATCCATAAATCCCTTTAAAACTCTGCGTAGATAAATTCTGAGTAGAGATATATCAATTTCATCTTTTAGTAGAGATAACTGTTAACAATGAAACATAAATTACATTTTTATTTTGAAATATTATACTTTTCTAGGTCATACAGGATCTTATATACAATAACAATATTATCTACTTATTTATATACAAAATAATATTAAAAAAAGAAGGCTCTGGGGAATTTATCAAATATGTACCATTATACCCCTACTCCATATACCACTGGTTTTATGTGGATAAAATTGTGAGTCCCTATTGGGTTTTTAAAAATTTTGAAAACCGGTAGTTAGGATTTTCTTTTATAAGCTTGAAACAAAATCAAATTATGAAGAAAATTGTGAAAATCATGGTAATTCTAAACGTGTTTGACCGAACTTCTCTTAGAATCGTTTTTGGTTAGCAATGATTATTTATCGTACCGTATATGGATATCAATTAAATTACTTTAAGTTATCACGAAGATTTATATTTTAGTTAAATTATTATGTATAAGTGAAAATTTGAAGATTTATATAATGCATTCTTTTGAACATGTTTGGCGTTTAAATTTTTTGTTTACATTTACTTCATGACTATTAGTATTATATTTAGTTCAGAGAAAAATGGTGTACAATTTAATACCATAGAAGTATTTTGAAATTATCATTTCGTTTTTGATAAATTTTGTATAGTAATAAGTTTTGAGCACAGAGTAGGTACCAAAAACCATTATTTTTTTCAAAGTCCAGTCTGGATATTTAACAGATTTATAAAAACATTGTCCAATCCGAATATTTGGTTGGTGTATAAGAACCTGCAAAGAATCAAGATGTCAACATTTGGCGAGATCATGATTTTTTTTTTTTGGGGGGGGGGGGGGGTGCACACAGCGTGGGGTCTACTGGTTGTTTTCGAAACTAGATCGTTCGTAAAGATATCAAAACTATATAGTGGTTTTGGAGACTCAAGATGACCCATTTGTTTAACATGGGAAGATAGGGAGTGCGGTATCCTTAGTATTAGGTTAAAAATAAAAATGTAAGAAATGGTCAACGTGTTTTTGTAAAAAAAAAAACCCGGCTCGGCCCTGATTTAAATGTAAATAGTCTGTCTTGACCCTGGCAGGTCTTTAACCCATACCCATTGCAATATTTTTTCTATTCGCGCGTATCTTTAAAAAAAAAAAAAATTAATAAAATACTCACTAGTCGAACCTGGTTCCATGAACACTTCGAATTGTCGTTTGCATTTGAAAAAACATTCAACCGGCGTCCTCAGCGTCCATTTTTTGTGTCCGCTTATTTGCGTCTGCCACGACGGATATCCCACTTTGTCGATCTAAATGTCAGATTTAAACAACATTGCGCATAGAAAACCCGAAAACTGTTTGAAAAAAACTAAGACAGTTTTCGCCGAAAAATTACGTTTTTGTGTAAAATTTATCCATATATTATCCAATTTTATTGAATTTAAACATGCTCACCTTACAATAAGCGGGAGGTGAATATGCGATGTATCATTTCCGTAAAAATGAAAAAAGAAAGTTAGATTTTTGTTTCCGACATATCTATTAATACGTTTACATTATTCTTTGAGAACCTCTAGTAGTCTATTTATTATTATGGTAAATTTGAAGAATGAAGGACTATAAAATTATAAAAATAAAAAAACGTCCTAGGATAATGGGGACGGGTGCAGCCACTGTTATAGGTAATAACATAGGTAAAATGTATACCTGTAAGCAACGATAAAACATTGCTTACAAAATAACCATTCTGAGGGGAATTCATTTGATAGTGATATTTTAACAACAATATATACGCCATATTATAGTAAAATAATTAAATAGGCTTTATATATTTTCTTTAATATTATTTGTTTAATGTCCTACTGATTTTACCAGTTTTCATACGTTTTTCCCGGTTTTTCACATTTGTTGGGAAAACTCCTGAGAAAATCGAAAAATTGCTTCCTTAAAGTACCTCTACATACCGAATTTCTTTCAGAAAAGGTGCTACACTTAGAAATCCAAGCAAGTCCTCTGGTAGGAAAGTTGTCTACAGAAAAAAAAACATCTTTGTAAAACCATAGGCTTCTTCGCTCCACTCAGAATCTAAAAGTTTGTAACAATATGAGACATCGAAAGTGATAAACATTTTTTTTTACCCAATAAACTTATATAACATTTTTAATATAAATTAAATTGTTTATCGAAAAAGAGGTGGTTGGATATGATACAGAATAATACGAGGAAAGCCGGTGTATGTGAGTTGATGGGATATCAGATCAAGTGGAAGTTTAAAACTAGGGTGGCCGATCCTAAATAGGTGGGATGAAGGCAAAGGAGAAGAATGAGAATACAAATGCAATTTTTATACACCATTTTTTTTTTTAAATAAACAATATTTAATAATAATAAAAATATTCTAAACAGGAAAGTTTCCAGACCTTGGCTATTGGAGGGGGGTGAAATAATTTAATTTAATATTAATGATTGATAAGAAAAAAAATTATATAAAATAATATATTGATTATATCTACTTCTGTACCAATGACTATGTCAAATGTTAATGTAAGTCCATTTCTTTAGGGGGTGGGAGCATTGTTTCTATCACCCCTTTCATATGAGCTCCCGTGACTTCAAACTTATTACTAATATGGAATAGGCACGTGTGACGGCTTACGTATAATATGACGAAATGAAATAAATATAATAAGAACTAGATACAGAAAAAATAAAAATCTTTGGGATGAATAAGAATCGCCTTCTTGTAGTGGTCCTTAAATAACTCTAAACGGTTCTCAAAATATATTTAGACAACAAAAAATACTTTTGGCCAATTATCAAACGATAGTTGGCGAAAACAAAAATAAACATGTCAACGAAAACGAATGCGGTCCTAAAATGTTTGAACTCCCTGTAACCGATTTGTTCTTAATGGTTTGCCCTCTTCCCTTCCCTACTATACATAGAATTATCTAGGACAGTGGTTAAACTGGGAATATATTCAAAGGGGTATTATGTTCACCGAAAATCGAGGGGCGTTCCCGGGAACTAATTAAACCTAATTAAACTTTTAGGAAACCCATCATTATATGGAGACAAGATTTTTTTTCTCGTAGACAATTTTTCTACCAGCAATTTTGCTCAGAAGTTTTTCTAAAAGGAAATTTCACTGGAAAAATATTTTAGAGAGGTCGATTTGCTCAAGAGTTTTCTCATAAAATGCGAAAAACCGAAAAAAATAAAAAAACGGGAAAATTTACGAAATTTAATAAATATAATACTACCATTTTTTTCTTCTGTAGATAACATTTGAAAAACGCAGGTAAACCAGGGAAATCGGTACAATATTAAAGAAAATAAATTGAACCTATTTTATTTATTTACTATAATATGGCATATATAATATATATTGTTGAAAAAACATCACTATCAGCTGAACTCCGGCCAGAGTTGTTTTTTCGTAAGTAATGTTTTATCGTTGCTTACAGGTATATATTAAATTACCTATAACAGAGTCTGCTGCTGTCCACATTATCTTAGGATGTTTTTTTTAAATTTTCTCAATGACAATAACTAAAGCGTTATTTCCCCGGACTTCAATGACTTTAACTAAAGAGGACCGATAATTTAATGTTAAAAAGAAGGGGCGTCTCTTTATAACTACTGATCTAGGGCCGATTTTACTCACGTGCATCGGTGCTCCATGTCCGGGAGTGCCCATGAAAATCCACAGTGTCCGCTTGCTGTCCGACAGCGCCGGTAAGAAATTCGGTAGAGACACATGTCGTTTTAGGCGATTTATTGTTTTGGGTTCGCAATTGCTCCTGGAACAAAAATCCGATTGTTCTGGTTAATTTAAAAACACCAAAAAGCCAAAAGCTAAAAATATCACGAATCATCGTATAAAGGTATTAGGCACATCTAATAATTATATCTGACATCATTTTGTTTGTCGAATAATATTATTGTTAAAGGGGCGTGCGCAGTACCGGGACAGAAGAAGTAGAAGTGAACCATATATTTGAGAAACGACCCAAGTCCAAAAACGATTATTCAGAGAAAACAACAAAAAAATGTATTTTCACTATACTATCTGATGGTGAAACCAAAAGGTTCAATAGAAAGTACCCTGAGATACGGAATTAAAAAAAAAATGTATAAAAATGACCACGCTGTGGGTTCAGAGGATTCGTTTGGAAGTTTTAGACTTACGTCGTTTCTACAACACATGATTTTCCGCGGTTTTTTCGTGCGATTGAACTATATAGGTATAGGTTCACACTTAATTTCTTCATTAAAACATGGATTCAATTTATTCTCAATACGCGTGAATAATCTAATCAGGGGCGTTTACCTATAATATTAAAGATTCTGTGTGGAGCGAGGAATACATTGGTTTTACAATGATGTTTATTATTATTAATTTTTTTTTCTGTGGACAACTTTTCTATCAGAAATTTTGCTCCGATTTACAATTATAGCACTTTTTCTGAAAGGAAATCTGACCAGGGTGATACTTTAAGGTGGTTATTTTTTGATTTTCCCAGGAGTTTTCTCAATAAATGGGAAGAACATGAGAAAACCAGAAAAAACTGTAGGAAAAACGAGAAAATAGACACAGTATAAAAAAAATATTATTAAAGAAAATGTTTAATTTGAATGTTATTATTTTATCATAATATGACACATATATAGCTTTGATAAAGAAACACTATATCAACCGAACTCGCTCGAAATCTTTTTTCGTTAGCAATGGTTAATCGTTGGGTACAGATATACATTAAATTTCTGTCTATATCCTACCTTCCTAACTTCTCACTTACAACATTGGTTGCACCCGTTCCCATTATTCTAGGACAGCTTTTTATCTTTTTACCAATGATACGATAAAAAATAGACGATCTATTACTCTGAAATGAAAATACTTTACAGTGATGTAACAATCTGTAAACTAAATATTTGTTTTAAAAATGTATATTTCCGTGCACTCATTTTTTAATATTCTTTTCTTTGTATCGTTATACCAATGGGTGGTTCAAGTATATTACAGTTGTATTACCTATATCATATACGTACCAACCGACGTACCATGGTGGTTGTCCGGGCTCCATGGCGGCCCGCCGTTCGTCCATCCCAAGCGCTTCACTGAGCGTCCGGAATTCCGTCTTGTACGGAAAAAACTGGCAGGGGGTCATAAGTCCCGAATCGGACAAATTCTTGAACAGTCGAAATCCGAAGGTGGTGGTCGATGGACCGGAAACGTCTACGGCCACTACCGGCCGACCCGTGTACGCGTAACTGGAACAGGCGGAGCACTACAATATGACGTTCTATAATATTATGGTTTTCCATTTGACGGTGTACACTCTTTATAACTAACTTTATGATCGAAACCCGTTCACTATATACTTTAGGGTTTTGATATTAATTAATCAGATTATAGGTTAGAATTATGTTTAATGGTGAAATTGTAAATCGAATGTGAAAAACTACACTAGTTTGCAGTAGCGGCCCGAGGATGTAGTACACAAGGAACAGGCTTATTACTATACCCATCCACCTACCCACCATAATTAATATAAGCTTATAACTTTTGTACCTTAAAATATTCATGTAATTTCCCTGATAATATCTGAAAATTGTAAGATATTAAAAACACAGGACATCGGGACCACAATAAAGGAGAAATAAAATACACAAATGAAAATAGTGCAAATCTGTAAATAATATTAGATATTAAGTATTGATTGTAAATTACTGAATTACCTATTTACCCACCACTCACCCACCCTTTTAGCGCCTAGGAGCGATTGCTCCTCGTAATATACATCTGGACCACCTCTGTCAGTTCGTCGAGTAGTCGAACTGTGCAGTGTAAATATTTAAAATGGAAAGGTTTTAATCGGTGATGTGCTCGGTCAGTCGGTAGTTCTTCACTGTTTGTCCGGGTTTTAGTATTACGAGTATTATAAAATGTAAACGATATTATAATATTTTATAAACGTGAATAAATCAAAACCCAAGGGCAACTCGGGGGAAAATGAGCGAGAATTAAATTTTTAACGACGACGGTTGAACATAATAAAATACAAATAACGTTTATTGGGACTTATTCGGTTGTCTGTTTCACCACTATCCTGGTAAAAATCGATATAGATTTTTTTCGAAATGGTACATTTATACTAAAAAATAAATAAATAATACAGGTGTGTTTTAAATAAATTAGAGAGTACCATTGGTTTTGATTTCTTCAACATAAATCTGACCGGTTTTTCCGCCTATTTAAAATTTTTTTGTTAGCTTAATTATATATATTATGTGTTAAATTTTCTATATATTTACATGCATATTATAATGAATGTAATGATTATTCTCTGACCATTTTTATCGCTGTCCCCCAAAAAATGCTTGTCGGACTAAAATAATTCCATAAAATTATAATCGATTACTTTTTTTCGAAATTTTCGGCGGACAAATTGAATATCTTCTCGACGGAATCCATTCCTTTGCAATAAGTACAATCGATCGGCGGCCGAAGTACATCCTCTAAGAAGTCCGGTAACGTCACTGCACACTGAGGTCAAACATAATATTATTATCATCTGCAGTACCAATAATTAACGATTTTGTTGTTTAATTTATATTTTACAGACGTCTAGGTACTGATTGTTGAATATTTTGATGTACTTTTATCTATATTGTCAGTATGATATTGAACAAATATAATAACCGGAAAAAAATGTAAAATGAAAACTGATCAATTTAAGGTTTTACGATTTTATTATTTTAATTTTTCATGCTTTCCATTTTCTACCAGAAATATTGCTTCAATAGAAAAACAAAAAGAGATCTCTTTTCTTGAATTTTTAATTTAATTGATGACCGAGAAAGTCTTTGTGATTTTCTTTGTAGTTTTTTTAATTATTGAGTAAAACGTAAAAATAAGAACGGGAACATTTTCGAAAAAAATTCTTTTATTCTTTTAAATTTTGTGAGTTTTTTATGTAATTTTTATTCGGTAGGTACTCTGTTGATGAAATTGTTACACTTAACAGAAATGTTTGAAAATTTGACAAGAGGTTCATTATTAGTCGTACTTTGTGGTCAAGACAAAAAAAAAAAATTGAGTGTTAGGTAGAATTTTTTTTTTATAAGAATTTCAGTATCAAATTTTTACGAAAATTGTAAATATTACGGTCATTCAGAATACGTATAACCGTACTTTAAAAGATTAATCGTTACTTACAGATATACATTAATTTCCTCCCTATATCCTATACCTTTCCAACTTCTCGTCTACAACGATGGCTCACCCATCGTGCGACGTGTGTCCATCTTTTTTTAGCTACATAATTCATAATTTTTATAAAATATTTGTTATACTTTATTTGAATTGACTAGTACCTTTTTAACATAAAATGTTTATAATAAGCTATTTAAAATTATGTTTATACCTACTATAATTATTATGTTGTTTGTAGCTATTATTGTTATTATTATTATAATTATTAAATTATATCAAACTATGTAAGAAAACATAACATGTGCATAGGTATAATTTTGCTAAAATTCAGTGGTTGCAAAACTGACATTTACGTAACTAAGTAATAAAGTAACTAATAAATAAAAAAAAAATCCAGAAGAAGTGTATTTAATGATAAATATTCATATAAACGGTCGTAATTAAAACGGCTCACTAAGACTATTTTAGATCACTAGGGAACGGATTTATATGCACTTAAGATCTATATAAACCGCTTAAAAATGTCAATAAGGCCTAAAAGTCACTCAAAAATATTTAATAAGGCAATTACGATATTATATATTATTATTATTATAAAAACAAAAATCTTAAAAATAAATGGGAACATAATTAAAATCTCAATAATAGATAGGTACCTACATAATAAAAATAATTTATACACGGGTACTCAATCGACCATCGACATCTCTTTTGTTGATAACAAGGTTGGTTATTAATCGATAAAGATAAAGTAATTTATTAAAAGAAATATTTTTGAATGTTAACCAAGTACGATTTTTCTAAAAATTGTAGGCATACAAAGTTTAAATAATGACAAAATATGCATTTTTTCTAAAATATGACAAAATATGAAAATTCAAATTTTGTATTTCATAAATTAAATTTATAACTTACCTAGAACAATCTATGATAATTGCAAAAAAACATGTTAGAGTAAGAATTTCCAAACCCCCCTAATCATCATATATTAGTATGGTAAACCAAACAGTGATGCAGTATTTTTTTTTTTTAACTTTTTTAATTATTACAATATGAACAAATTTAATTTTTTTTTTTTAACTATTCAGTTATTTCTTTAAATAAATACAAATATTAATATTTTAGATTCCGAAAGTAGCGATGGAACTAATGGTTTTAAAATGCTGTTTATTATTATTTTTTTCTAGTCTGTGGACACGTTTTTCCTAGTAAAATTGCTCCGATGTATAAGTGTAGCATAATTTCTAAAAGCTAAAGTTGTCTAGATTGTACCTTAGAGAGGTCAATTTTCGTAAAATTTCACGATTTCATTATTTTATAAAAATCCGGACGACGTTTTCTACCAGAAAAAATGATTTACCTGAAGATACCTTTTTTGTTGCCTTTTTGATTTATTTTCTTACGGTATAATCGCAAAAAATTTTGAGCCACTATTGAGCTTTTAATGAATTTTAATTGTTGGTACACGTAGAGACTTGAAACTTGGTAATAATACTTAGAACGGACTTACCTAGACGTGATGAAATTTCCAAAATCATCGGATGACTTTTTTTCCTTTTTTAAATTTTTTTACTATGGTACTTTATTTTTTTATATTTTTATTTTTATACTGCAGAAAACTTTTATCCTAGAATACTTGCTCCGATGTATAAATGTAGCACATTTTCTGTAAATTTAGTAATTACATAAGTCATTTTTTGATTTTCGAAATGGTATTTAAAATAAAAACGATTAACCCGTAAAAAAAAAAATAAGATTTTTTCACGATTTCGTTATTTTAAATAAGTACCTATCACGGTTTTTTAGCACAAATATGGCTATATATATAATATAGCTCCAATTGAACAATGACAAGAAAACATAATTTTGTTGAATTTTTTTTTTATAAGCGTTTTGAAATCAAAATTAAACTAAAATCGTAAAAAAATTACGGCACTTTAAATTATGTATTACCGAAGTGCGCTCGGAATCGTCTTTCGTCAGCAATGGGTTATCGTTGCTTACAGATATAAATGAAATAACCTTATGTTTCCTATCTTCGCCACTTCCCACCTACAACAGTGTCGACACCCGTACCCAGTATCAAATCTTATTTATTTATGATATATAAATTATTTTCTTTTATTAGTGTATTTATTTAATATTTAATAATAGATTGTTATGTAACGTTTATGAAATATCTCAGACAGTTATTTATTAAATATTTGTATTTAATACAAATTGTGAATTAATTATTTGATTCATAATGCAAAAAGGTTAAATAAATAATCACTACACAATGTATAAATATTTAAAAAAGACATCCTAAGATAATAGGGACGGGTGCAGCCAGTGTTATAGATAATTTAATATACAACTGTAAGCAACGATAAACCATTGCTTACGAAAAAACGATTCTGAGCGGAATTCAGTTGATAGTGATGCTTTGCAAACAATATATATGTTATTTTATAGTAAAATAATTAAATAGACTTTATGTATTTTCTTTAATAATATTTATTTAATGTTGTACTGATTTTCAAAGTTTTACTACGTTTTTCCCGGTTTTCCCATTTTTTATCTCTGTTTTTCACATTGGCCGGGAAAACTCCTGAGAAAATCTAAAAATAACCTCTTTAAAGTACCACCCTAATAAAATTTTCTTTTACAAACATTGTTATCATTAAAAATTAGAGTAAAATTGCTGATCGAAAAGTTGTGCACAGAAAAAAAAATCGTAATACTTAAGTAATACATTTCGTACATTTTTCCGTTTCTTTTTTGATTTTTCAAATTTAATGAGAAAACTTCTCAGAAAATTTAAAAATGACATCACTAAAGTACCACCCCACACTGATTTCCTTTCAAAAAAGTGTTACACATGACAACCGGAGCAAGATTTCTGGTAGAAAAGTTGTCCACAGAACAAAAAAAAAAAAAATTTACATCTTTGTAAAATCATAAGCTTCTTCTCTCCATTCAAAATCTAAAATAAAGTGGCACTTTTTCAACCTTTTTTTTCCCACACCTTCTTTGCATCTGAATTTGAGCCTATCCCAAGATATTTACCTATGTACCCACATTTTGTTAATAGTATAAATACATAACTTATATGTGTTAAGTTTTGTTATTTTTTATTAGCATTTTAATTATTTAATAAACAGAAAACAAATATTATAATAAGTTATAATGTGTAAAAAATACTTATAAAATTAGCTTATTAGCTCAGGAAATCGAACAGATTCATGTATGAAAATACATACGTGTAAGAAAATGATAACAGTGAATAATGTTATATTAATAAAATTATTTCCGTACAAATGGTTACACTCAATCGCATAATAATATTATTATGAGGCAGCCGACGCGTGATATTTATGGGCTGATGGCATTTCATTCCGCTACGACGATTTTTATATCCCTAAACCGAATTTGTCGGTCTCGTATAAAACCGTTCTCGAAACATCGTTTAAGTGGTTATTTTATCTCGTATACCGCCTGACTGGGCAAACAAAATAATAACACAATTTGATGATATTATACATACGCAATATGGAACTTGCTTAATGCACATCAGTACCTACTTAATATAACACATATTGTACCCATTAATAATTTTTATATTTAAAAGGCGCGGCTGTACGATAGGCGAAAAAACCTACACTATTGACTGCAGGGGCGGAGTGGATAATGAATTCGGGCCGGGAGATTAAAATTTATCCAGGCCACCCGACAGAGTACGTATCTACCAAATGAAATTTGTCTCACGTTTTAATTTGAAACAGTGACGAAGCCAGGATTTTGAGTTGAGAGGAGCTAAACACGAATTTCCTCGAAACACGGGTGAAGATAAGAGGGGGAGGGAGTTTCGATCCTCAAAATATGTAGAAAAGCGATTTCATCAATATGCATTTTAATTTAATAATTTAAACGTATAAAAAAAATACGTCTTAGGATAATAGAGATGGGTGCAGCTACTGCTATAGGTAATTTAATGTATATCTGTAAGCAACGATAAACTACTGCTAACGAAAAAACGATTCTGAGCGCAGTTCAGTTGATGGTGATGTTTTGTCAACAATATGTATATCATATAATGGCAAAATAATTAAATAGGCGTTATATATTTTTTTAATAATTTTTGTTTAATATTGTACCAAATTTCCCGTTTTCCTGCGTTTTTCTCGGTTTTCCATGTTTGTTCCTAATTTTTCTAGTTTGTTGAGAAAATTTTTGGGAAAATCGAAAAATTAACCCCTTTAAAGTACCTTCCCGGTCAGATTTCCTTTCAGAAAAAGTGCTATTATTTTAAATCAGAGCAAAATTACTGGTAGAAAAAATGTACACTTGTAAAAATGTTTTGTACTTTTACCTACATTTTGTGCGTTTTCCGTTTTTCCGACATTTTATCCCGGTATTTCCCAAATATTATGAGAACCGCTTCAAAAATCAAATAATGACCTCCCTAAATTACCACGGGGAAAAAATTTACTTTCAGAAGATTTCTGGTAGAAAAGTTTGCACAACAAATCGAGGGGTATTTTGTGATTAAATAGTCCGATTGTTTAAACCGCGTCGCTCACCACCGACGAGCGCTGTAACCGGTCCATGGGATCGTGTAACCTTTGCGGGTGTTATCTTCATCTCCGCCTTCTTTTTATGTTGCGAGTCGGTACGGTTAACCTGGACAATTTTTTTGGAAAGGCCTCGGGCGGGCAATCCAACACCGATCGAGCAATGGAACTTCAAAAACCTATAATTTCAAAACTTAATCCGCTTAATTCTGACTTTGCCATTGTTCTTAAATTGGCAATATACATATGTTCAAAAAAAAAAAAAATTTGATACTGAAATTCTTATAAAAAAAAATTCTACCTAACACTCAATTTTTTTTTTGTCTTGACCACAAAGTACGACTAATAATGATTCTCCTGTTAAATTTTCACGCATTTCTGTTCAGTCTAACAATTTTACCACATAGTACCTATCGAATAAAAATTTCGAATGAAACTCGCAAAATTAAAATGTCTGTAAACAGATCAAAATTGGTTGAAAACTTTCCCACGTCTAGGAATAATAATATAAGTTTTCTGTCCAAATTTTAATTATTTACGAATAGTTTTAGCTGAACTAGAACAAATAAATAAATTGAAAAATGAAAGCATTATTTTCGTGAATTTTCCGTTTTTCTTACGTTTTATTTTGGTTTTTTCCAAATATTATGAAAATCGCTTGGAAAATCAAAAAATGTATTATCTGGACAATATTTCCTTTCAGATATTGTGTCGCGCGTAAATATCGGAGTAAGATTTCTGGTAGAATTTTGTACACAGTATAAAATAATAAAACAAAAATAAACATCTTAGTAAAATCAATACATTTTTCGCTACACTCAAAATCTTAAAAACTCAATTAGTACCGAAACTAGGATATAATATTGTGTGTTGTGTACCTTGGCATAATTTTTTATTAAATTGTTAAATATTACCTACGTGGAATTAAAATATTATACATATATCAGGCCACCAGGCCATAATTCGATCCAGACCATCTGGAAAATTTCTATTTCCAGACCGGTCACTCCGCCTCTGCTTTTGAGATTCATATTATTATGGTTTTTTTTACGCACCATTTTTGCATTTTCACCAACACTCGCGGTGGGGTTAGTTTCGTTATTTATTTATACGAAAAATCCACCGACTCAAGACAATATTTTGCGGGTCAAAATAGATGATTACTCGTAAAATTAGTAGCAAAAGTCTCAAATACCTAATACTTTATACCAATACCTGTATAATATAATATAAATATAATTGCATAGACATAAAAAAAGTGAATGTAATATTGGTAATATTTTACTTCGGTGAATATTAAGTATTAATAACAATATTATGTAGTTATAGTACCTACCTACATTAAAATATAAAACTATAATATTATTTATAATCGTTTTTTTTTTCGCTAAATAATTCGCATTTAAAAATGAATGGAAACTATATTTTTTACCCGTATAGTCGTAATTATATAGGCCGGTTTGAAACTATTAGAGCATAAATATAAAGGATGCGATTTCCAGAAAGAAAAAAAAAATACATACTGGATTAAAAATATAAAAGTTCTATAATGTGTATGAACTGTATGTTTTTCAATATTATAGCTTTTCTAAAAAAAAAAAGAAAAAGAGAAGAGTTTTCAATTGCCGACAGTGCATATATTCTGTAATAATTGTGTTTGACTTTGACAGATTTCTATTTTAAAAACGGATTGTGATTCTTTATGTAATTATTTAATTATAAATCGTAAACAATAATTCGATTGCATTTTTGAACATTTGTTTCTAAAAACGGTCGTACCCGTTTTCCTTAAATGGGTATTAGGAAATAGATTAGTGGAAAAGTTTTATCAATGAGGTGGTCATAAGTTATACAAAATATGTCTTTATATGTAAATTACATTCTGATAAAATTTTAAAATTAAAAATTAAAAGACGTCCTAGGATAATGGGGTCGGATGCAGCCACTGTTATAACTAATTCAATGTATACTTGTATGCAACGATAAACCATTGCTAATGAAAAAACGATTCTGAGTGGAGTTCAATTAATAATGATGCTTTATCAACAATATATATGTCACGTTATGGTAAAATAATTAAATAAGTATTATATATTTTTTTTAATAATATTTGGTTAACGTACCGATTTTCTCGTTTTTCCGGTTTTCCCATGTTTTTTCCAGGTTTTTACATTTGCTGAGAAAATCGAAAAATGACCTCTTTAAAGTACCTCCCCAATCAAATTTTTTTTGAAAAAATTGCTTTTATTGTAAATCGGAGTAATTTGCTGGAAAAAAAGTTGTTTACAGAAAAAAAGAAGGCCGTAATATTTTTAGCTAATACCTAAAATTCTTACATTTTCCGGTTTTTCCTCAGTTTTTTTTTTCGGTTTTTCGTATTTGATGAGAAAACTTGAGAAAATCGAAGAACAACTTCCTTAAAGTACCTCCCCACACTGAAAAGATGCTATAGATGAAAATCGGAGCAAGATCTCTGATAGAAAAGTTGTCCACAGGACAACAAAAAAAAAAAAAATAAATAATAAATAAAATCTTTATAAAACCATAAACTTTCTTCGCTCCACTCAGAATTTAATATAATTTAATTTTAATTAAATAGATAATTGGTGCATTATTTCAGCAGGCCAATGGGGACTATTTTAAAAGGAAGTGGTGCCACCGCACACCTTGCTCCCCTCCCCAAATGACGCTCCTGACCGGTTTTAATATTAATATTAATATAATATATATTTAATATTTATAATATTATGTCATAACGAATTCCAATCAACATATATCTGCGCAATTAAAATGACGTTGAACATGGCGATCCTCATGGAGAGCGTGTTAATCATGACGTACATCGTCTTGTTGGTTATGCATTGGCTGTACATAAAAAAAGCCGAGTAAATATTCAAACGATGCCATTTTTCAAATAAAGAAATTTGTTTATAATAATAATTTATCGTCCGTTATAGTGTTCTACACATACACACGTTTTGCAGAGATGTTTTCAAAAATATACTAATCGTTGTTCTGCAGAACACGTTTTTCGTGTCTTACGTTTTTTCTTATTGTGATAAGGCATGTGTGTGTATCCGGAAAACAGTTTTATATGTTTTGTCCTTTTTAAAATAGGTAATCTTTATGACATGTGCAATGTTTCGGTGTGAAATAATCAAACCGATGTCAAATTAGTCGCATATAAATTAATAATTGTTTCTAAGTTAGTATTCTTCTTTTCATTCATAATTATTCTGTATACCCTGCGAATATTCTTACATCTGGCGAATGTATGTCAAAAGATGATCGCCTCGATATTAGTGTTGAATCCAGACAATTTTTCTGGGAGGGGCCATTACTAAAATTTTAGTATATGACATTTTTTTTTGCTTATCTACCTTCTTCCTAAGACCGGTCATATTTAAATTTGTTTAATTATTTAATTGATTATTAATTTACCCACAGTTAACAGAGTGGGGGGGAGGGTAAACAAAATTCCAGAGATATTGAACACTGCTCGTTATCGCTACCCAAATAAAGCCGACGATCGTGATCTGCCTTTATCGTCATTCGCTGTCAGTTTTCATATAAAAAATATAGGTGGAAAATATCGTTTCATGAGGGATTTTATTCAGATATTAATAGCACAGCGTACCTACGATTTTATTTGATGACGATCGCAACGGCCAGTATAAATTTGCTTAATGGTATCTAACCTTACTGTTAAATGTAGATATAGCTGATATTGAATTTTAATTGGTATTCCCTGACCTATTCATCATCGCTCGACTCGAACCGCAGGGTCTAAAATCTCGAAATTTATCACGGAGGTTTACTATATTTCGTATAACGATAAAAATATATAAAATTATTAGGTTTATTATTATCATTATTTTTTTTTTGAATCAGTTAAAAAACCTATAATATAATATCAAAATACTGACTGTCCCAAAAATTTTACAGCCAGGGGCTTCTCTAAATACGTCACTGGATATGATATTGATAATATTATGTTGTTCTGTGGATTATCTTATCCGCTTATCATTAAGTTCGTATTTCATGGTTGAAATAAAATAGATATTTTTTAACCACGGTGTTCTAATAACTAGTAATACATTTTTTTTTAAAATCGTTAAAACAATTTTTTTTTTTATTTTCGTTGAAAAATATGGAGATATAGTTTTAAACTTTTTTTTTCATTATACTAAAATACTAAATAGTTGCATAAATACAGGTCCAGGGAGGGCGATATACCCTATCGCCTCTTCCGCCTAAAATATACCACTATCTTAGCGTAGGTATATATATATATATATATATATATATATATATAGACATGACACTAAAAGTTACAATATTATCGAAATTATAGCTATTTTGGTATTTTATACCAATAAAATTACATTGCTCAATGAACTTAATAATCTATTCCTATTTAATAACGATTTTCAGATAATTTCAATTATTAACTTATAATGCTGTTTTTAAATTTTATAACAACTCTTGCAATAATTGATCACGCGTAGCAATGTTAACCATTAACTATAATTATTTAAATCTTGCTAGCATTAAAATGACTTAATAGTGGTCTGGATCGATATTTTTAATTACAGACATATCAATAAATATTTTAAACCCAAAGTCTATAAGTAATTAACTGTCTAAATTTCTCTACCAGTAATTTGAAAATTAATAATTTTTTTTATTATTTTAGTACGGTAATTGTTATTACGATAACGTAAAATTGCCCATTATCTAATTATACCATTTAGTAATTTTAATTGATTATGCAATTTCGTCAGTATAATTTAATTGTTTGTGTACATCTGCACAATATATAATGCCGTCTATAGTATCAGTAGTATATTAGATAATGTATAATACTCAAAGATGCTCCGTCGAACGACGACAAGTATGTCGTAAAAAATAATCGAAAAAACGTGAAAAATCGGGGATTTCGAAGATTTGTTCGCATAAAATACCACCGGGCGAAAAATCTCTTCCTGTTAAAGCGCGACGTGCGAGATTCAAATCGTTGCTATACTAGCCGTAAAGGTATTTTCTGGGGGAGGAAACGGATGTAAAGATGTTTCCATCTTTGCAAAATCAATTCGTCACTCTCAAAATGTGAAATTGTTATTATTTGTCGGTGGACAATCGGCGGGGTTAATCAAACGTCATAGTGATTAAACTGTGATTAAACGAGACGATGCGATACTCGCGGAGAGAAAAATGGCATAACACGATGTTATACTCTGGCGGTAGGTATCTAAATAATATTATACTCGTCTACAAAATATCCCTACCAATTACGACATTGTTATTAGAATATTATTTATAATAACGCGCGCGCGTATAATATAATCTATTTACGGAGAACGAGCATCAATAATTATAGTGCAATTTAGGTCAGATATAATATGTCCGTCTGGCGTGTGGCGCGTACCAAATCGTACACCGAGCTATCTGTTTAATTGCTAATATTATTATTGCTCTAATAATATGGCCAGAGTTGTACATAATAATGATATGGTGAACTATAGACCGGCATAACATTATTACAACGATAAGAAAGGACGTCCTAGGATAATGGAGACGGGTGCAGCCGCTATTATAGATAATTTAATGTACACCTGTAAGCAACGACAAACCATTGCTCATGAAAAAACGATTCTGAGCGGAGTTCAGTTGATAGTGATGCTTTGTCAACAATGTATATTATGTTATTTTATAGTAAAATAATTAAATAGGCTTTATATATTTTCTTTAATAATATTTGTTTAATGTTGTACCGATTTTTCCAGTTTTCCTACGATTCTCCCGGTTTTCTCGTGTTTTATTCTGGTTTTTCACATTTGCTGGGAAAACTGAGAAAATCGAAAAATGACTTCCTTAAAGTATCTTTCCAGTAAAATTTTCTTTTAGAAAAATTGCTATCATTATAAATTGGAGTAAAATTGCTGTTAGAAAAGTTGTGCACAGAAAAAAAAAATCGTAATATTTTACTAATATATTTCGTATATTTTCTCGTCTTTCCTCCGTTTTTTCGGTTTTTCACATTTGATGAAAAAACTCTTGAGAAAAAAGAAAAATGACTTTCTTTAAGTACCTCCCCACATTGATATCCTTTAAGAAAACGTGCTACACTCAGAAATCATAATAGGGCATAATCATGGGCTCAGTCAGTCAGTAGAAAAGTAAAGTTAAGAAAATTCTTAAGAACTTCGAAAAATGACCTCTTAAATGTACCTTTCCATACCAATTTTCTTTCAGAAAAGATGCTACATGTAAAAATTGGAGCATGTCCTCTGGTAGAAAAGTTGTCCACAAAAAAAAAAAAAATAAACATCTTTGTATAATCATAAGCTTCTTCACTCCACTCAGAAACTAAAACGATATTACTTATTGGTTAAAAAAAAATTCAAATTTGAATACAAATAAATTTAGTAGGTAGTTTTAGTATCTACTAGAAGTAGTCAATTTTATGTGTTGGTATTGTCTTATAAGTGATAAGTCATAGGCGTTATTCGCATAGTTGTCTACAGGCAGGTCGATTATCACTAATAAAAAAAAATTTGATTGATTTTTCAAAAACATTTTTAAATCTCTGTACCTATGTATTTATCTGGTTGATACCTACTAAAAAAAAAAAAAATTCTAGAGTTTAGGCAAATATGATAATAATAATTTATTCATTGAAATAAAACAAGCGTGAACCCAATTGACCAAAAATATTACATACAAGTATACAATATAAACAATAGGCTATATATACGCGGTTATAAGTGATTGGGATGTAACATTGATACTGATACAATTATAAATAATGTAAAGTAAGATAAATTTGATAAAAGAAAATATAATAGATATCAACAATAATTAACATGCGATTTAATTATTTTAAGATGCATCATTAAGAAAAAAATCAAAGTCGGGGTATTTGTTGCAAAATGACATTGCTCTGGAAAGAGGTGAGTTTTTAGTAAGTTGGTATCATGAGAAGAGGTGTAGAAAAGAGTGGGGTATCTGGGGTGGTATGAAGCAACTTTAAAGTGGATGTGTTCAAGTAAATAAGGGGAATTTATAAGGCCATTAATGAGGTTATAAACAAAAGACTACCGCTTCTCCTCTAGAAGCAAGTGTTGGCAAGTTAGAATGTAAACGCATAGATTCGTACTCGTAAGGTTCCAAATGAAAATTTATTTTAAAAGCTAAGTATTTGAAGAACCGATTTTGGACTCTTTCGATTGAATCACTTTCTAATTTAGTATAAGGGCCCCAAATAATAGAATCGTATTCTAAAATAGACCTTACAAAAGCCGTGTAAAGGGCTTTAAAAGGTTTAGGATCTGAAAACACAGAAGAGTGACGTTTAATAAAATCTAAATATTTTTGAAGATTTCTTTACGATATACTCAATGATTCACGAAAACATAAATCATAAGAAAAAATTACTCCAAGGTTTTTAATAGATGAAAAAAAAATCGAGTACGTTGTTATTGATACTATAATTATATGCAATTGGGTCGCATATTCTATAAAAGCTCACTGAGTGACATTTTCATATGTTTAATAATAAATTGTAAATAAATTGTACAGTTTTCCTACGTTTTTTTCCCATTCGAGTGCTTTTAATAAAAAAAATGGCGTCGAAAATCAAAAAATGACCTCTTTAAAGTATCATCTGAACAACTTGAGCTTTCAGAAAAGATTCTACACTTATACATCGGAGCAAGTTTACTAGGGAAAAACGCGTCCGCAGACTAGAACACAGAATGAAAAAATAAAAATAAACAAACAGCATTGTAAAACCAATAGCTTTCTCGCCACGCTCGGAATCTATAACAGCGGAAAACATTTGCCGTGTTCACGGCGTATGCAATTCATTATGCGCGCTGTATGTTATTATATTCACCGAAAAATATCTGCGCTCGTACGTAGCCACGTAGGTGTATAATATTTCGCGTATGAATTATTAATTCGCATTAATTCGCGCAGTTGGTTTATGCGGTCTGTAGATTCGGATATTGTTAATTTTGACGCGCGTTTTATTTTTTTTTTTTTTCGGCCGTCGGGATTTATTGCTCTGTTAGTCGCGAATCCGTGTTCAATGTTAATTTATTACACACTTACGGTTTGATAATATACTGCTATGGAAAACATGGCGGCGGTTGATTTCATGGTTTATTATTTTATAGAACGTTATATTTAATTGTTATTATTATTATATTTTTTTTTTTTTCGGAAACTGGGAAAACGAAAAAAAAAATAACGTGTACGATATTTAAGTATACATAAAGATATCGTGTAGTATTATCAGATTGCGCGGGTACATACGAGTACAATATTGTTATATGTAACACATTTAGGCGCGTATATCATAATTTGTAGTTAATGATTTTGCGTTTAATTTCATCATTTTCGTGCCGCACACAAGAAATATGAATGAAATTTTAAAATTGAACCGAGTACAGTAATTTTGTTATGAAAATAACTGTTTTCACCGGTGATTTAGCTATACAGAATGGCCAATTGAACAAGAGAATGCAGTAGTATTATTATAGTAGTCGTAATGCATAATAGTAATATATTGTATAGGGCAGGGCAATTATCGTGTATTATACGCGTACGTTAGATTTTTATGCGAGACAAAATATTTATGATGCACACGAAGTATAACACGATTTGAGGCTTGTGATAGTATACGTGATTCATGTGGGAAATAAAAAAACTGCAGGAACCGTCGACGGTATAAGTAGGTATAAAGAAAAAAAAAATTTATATTTTATCCGCGCACAAAATTCCGTATAAAGATTTTTCATTTCAGCGACTTAAAAACGTATTATAACTCGACATTTGCGAAACTAATTGGCTTAGAGATCTGTGCGGTCCGTTTTTTCGAAGATCACAACTGAGGACCAGCGAAGAGAAATTATTAAGAGTCCAGTTAGGACCAGACCTGACACGATGAGATGAAACAAACAGAAAAATCTGACAGGTTTTTTTCTCCCGAAGAAACGTTTCATATATAGGCCGTGTTTTTGACCTTTTGCACCGAATAACTCAGAATCAGAAATTAAAAGTTTTAAAATAAACCAAGTAAAAAAGACGTCCTGGGAGAATGGGGATGGGTACAGCCACTGTTACAGGTAATTTAATGTATACATGTAAGCAACGATCAAGCATTGCTAACGAAAAAACGATTCTGAGCAGAGTTCAGTTGATAGTGATGTTTTGTCAACAAGATATATGAATAATTATGATAAAATAATTAAATAGGTATTATATATTATCATTAATAATATTTGTTTGGTGTACCGATTTTACCGTTTTTCTTACGTTTTTCACGGTTTTCTAATGTTTTTCCCGGTTTTTTATATTTGATGGGAAAACTCCTGAGAAAACCTTTCTTAAGTTTGTCTCCAGTCGGATTTCCTTTTAGAAACATTGTTGTAATTATGAATCGGAATAAAATTGCTGGTAGAAAAGTAGTGCACAGAAAAAAAAAATCGTAATATATTTTAACCAATACTTACATTTCTTATATTTTCTCGTTTTTTCTCAGTTTTTTTTTCGGTTTTTCAAATTTGAGAAAAAAAACTCTTGAGAAAATCGAAAAATAACCTCTTTAAAGTATCTCTCTACACCGATTTTCTTTCAAAAAAGGTGCTACGCTTAAAAATCGGAGCAAGTCCTCTGGTAGAAAAGTTGTCCACAGAAAAAAAAACAATTTTTGTAAAACCATAAACTTCTTCGTTCTACTCAGAATCTAAAACTGATCTAGACGGTGAATTATTGGAAATGTCGATAACCGTTTCAAATAAACTATAAAGTAAAATTTACGGTTTTCCGTGAACAAGTTAGGGTATTTGCCTAAACTAAAAATTGTTTTTAAAAATCATAAAAATTAATTTTTTGGAAAAATAATTAGGAATTTCGAAAAAATTATCAATTAAGGTACCTTAGGCAGAAAATCCGTATCTTTTAGTGTATGCTATGAATACATCGGAGTATTTTTACTGACCATAAAGTGTTTTCTGATAAAAATACATGGGTATTTGTAAAGCTATTCTTTGTTACACTCAGAATCTAAAAGAGACTGAATAAAAGACCGGATTGTGAAGAGCAATATCGTAAAAATATTTATGTAGGTCCATAAGTAGATAATCGCTAAAGATTGCGATTAGACGATCGTGTATGAAAATCGAAGGACAGGACTTGGGGGAAACACAAACTGTTGTGAAATGTATACATTATTTTAAACATATTTAAACATTATTTTATACAGCGACACACTCGATGTTATTTTCATTAGCACCAGATTGTTATCTTAACATATCGATCGTTTTTTTTCTGAAATGTATTTTCACCCATAATAACACGAGTAATTATTATTCTTTCTGAATCTAAAATCAACCGAATAGAGCAGCCGTATTAGTGACGGATATCGCAGTACTTTTTCGGGCCGAAATTTATATTGCTTGTCGATTTCTCCCATAGTACTTGTGCAGGTTGTAAGTACATAATAACATCATAGTAATTTATCCGAACATCAGTGATTTCGCGTACGGTCTGCCGGTCTTCACACTACCATGACCTATACGAATAGAAAATATTCCATTTTTTTTTGTTCCGCGAAAACATGATTTCTACACGAAAATCCGACGTGCTCTATACACTTTAATACTACGTGTAATGGCTATAAGCATCTGCAGTTTTGAATAATGCATAATATGATACAGAATTTTAGAAGTTCACGCGTCGTATTACTGTAGTATACATCCGTATAAAACACAATACATTTTTAAGCTAATAATTTTTGTAATTGAAGTCTTAATATTAGATAAAAACGAAAAAACACAATTTAAGTAGTATTTCAATTTCCGAATCCGGAATGCTGTAAATTCTATAATAATATGTTGGAGAAATTAAAAATTACTTTTGAAAAACGAAAAAAATTTCCGGAAAATTAGACAAATTGGATATTTTTCGAGAGTATAATATACATCACGATAAAAAATCGTGTTACGATTTATAATGCTGCGAGTAGCACATATTCCGTGACAAATAAAGTGATTTTACTTATGTTTTAATTACGATATTACTTGTAATCATGAATAATGTTATGAAATAAATTGTAAAATTATTGTTGATTTTTAAAATTTAAATTTGTGTTGATTTTGACGGCTAAACCTATTTATTATATAGTACTGAACTACTCGTATTTTGTTTCTGTCTTACAAACATTAGATATACCTACTAAAAATATGCTTACGTCGATTACACAAAACTCGCTAATATTTTGTTTCAGAGTAATTTAAGGAGGTAATTTTTTGATTTTTTCAGAGGTTTTTTATAATAAATGGGAAAAACCTGAAAAAAAAGAAAACATAAAAATATTCGAAACGTATTATTTTCAAATTATAAATATTACGGTATTTTAAAACATATGTAATCGAATTCCGTTCAGAATAGTTTTTTGTCAACAGAGATAAAACATTGCGTAATGATATAGGCACATTAAATTTTCTTCTATATTCTACCTTCTTAACTTCACATCTATAACAGTGGCCCACTCTTTGTGGCATTGTGCGAAAAAGATTTTTATATTTTTTAATATGAATTTAAAGTTATTTAAACAATTCCATTATCTGCTGGCAATAAAGCTCCGTCGTAGACCGATTAGAAATGTTAATATTTAACATAGGTAGTATCTAATTTATAAATTTATTTAAAGTCGTATAATGAATCTTAGAATTTCCCACAAGTTTGAAATACGTTGTGAAAAAAAAAAAACGAGCTACTACAAATCATTTTTTGTTTGTTTCCAAAACGAAATTTCGAATGAACCGAATTCAGCTTTCAGTATTTTTTGTTTTCAAATCTAAGATTATCATAATATAATGTACAACAATGGGTTCCATATTATAGAGGCGTGCGAACCGTGCAGGTTAAGTTCCTAAAACGAGGTCATTGTATGCATTTAAACTTACAGGGTAATTCATTTAACGTAAAACACTTATTGTTTCGCAAAGAATTGGTTAAAAAAAAAAAACCAACGAAAAAAAAATTTCCGGTAGTTTAAGTAATAAAAAATGTACTAATTAAAAAATCGAAAATGTCAACACCGAAATGTATTTAAACTAGTACTCCATCCATTTGTAGAATGTGTAATAATTGCATTTGTAAAGGTGGCCATTTGAAAATCAAAAGTAGGTAGTCGTTTCACCGCCAAAATTAAGAGCGACAAAACATAATGAAAATGTAACAATTCATCATTTAAAAGTAGATGTACAATTTATAATGTAGAGGTAAAAAATTAGAAATCACAGATCATGAAACAAAGCACGGATCAAAATTCCAAATCAAACAGACCAAAACAGTCGGTCACAAAGCAGCATGTCACAAAATACCAACAACCATAATTTAAATTAACAGTTCAATTGCAGGATGACAAAACATTTCAGATTCAAACAAAAACGTCAAAATATATTTAAATTTAAACAGTTCCGTCAATAGTATACTATAATCTATTTCAGCCTACCAACAAAAAAATAGACAAAGGAACCCAGACTATACCAATTAAGTTAGTACAAATAATAACGTTTAAACCAAAAAATCATAATTGGTATGATTACAAATTACGTAAAATTATTGTTTATTATATTATTTTAGAAAGAAAACGATAGTTCGAAAACAATATATATTTTATTTTGAAAAAAAAAAAAACGTCATAGGATAATTGAGAGGCGGGGTGCATCCACTGTTATAGGTAATTTAATGTATATCTGCAAGCAACGGTAAACCATTGCTAACGAAAAACGATTTTGAGGACAGTTCAGTTGATAGCGATGATTTGTCAATAATATATTATATTATACTATGGTAAATTAATTAAACAGGCGTTATATATTTTCTTTAATAATTTTTGTTTAATATTGTACCAAATTTCCCGTTTTTCTTCGGTTTTTCACATTTGGTGTGAAAACTATCGAAAAATGATTTCCCTTGAGTACCTCCCTACACCGATTTCCTTTCAGAAAAAGTGCTACACTTAAAAATCGGAGCAACACCCCTGGTAGAAAAGTTGTCCACAGGAAAAAATAAATAAACAAATTAACACCTTTGTAAATCCATAGGCTTCTTCGCTCCACTCAGAATCAAAAATTAAAAAATTACACACAAATGCAATGCAACGTAACCTGAAAAATTGTTATATTCTACATTTTAAGTGTTTATATATATATTTTATCGCGAAAAACCTCATTCGAGTATATCTCTTATATTTTGATAACAGTCAAATCTTAGTATGTAAATATACTCATATCTCAATATTACACGAGCGTTCAAAAATATATCGTTTGCGTTTATAATTGAACAATTACATTGATTGGATCCAAACAATCAAATTATTGCCGATAACAGTCCGATACAAAGTGCATGGCGGACGTACTAATCAAGCGTATTTCGCGCGTGCACGGTCAATATACCTTTTGGTCCGTCGCCGACGAAAACAGTTCCGCGGCCGTCGTCAGCCACCGGCCGCATTCGGTGGCCGCGTGTCTCCAGTCGACGGTGGCCGCGAACGCTATGGCGACCGCGGACAGAACGACCGCGGAAAGCGGGGACCGCCGAGATCGCGGTCCGCCGCTACCGCCGCCGCCACTGGACATGGTCGCCGTCCTGCGTCCGCGACGAGAGCCGGTGGTCGCAACCGCTTTGGACGGTGTCGCGTCCGCCATGTCAGCCGTGACCCCGTCGGCGCGCTCGGAGACGATTGAAGCTTCCGCGGTGTGGCGTAGTGCCATCAGACAGTAGTGCGGTACCCGATCGGAAGTGGCCGACCTCGGGCGACGGTCGTCGGTCCGGGCCGAACGGAAAACCCCCATTTATAACATCACCCCCCCTCCCCCCGCCACAATTGTCGAAAGGGTGTTCGCGAATGGCACCACGCGTTCAGGCGTCTTTATCTGTGTATTATTCTACGATTACACCGCCGTTACTACAACTACTGCAGCACCTGTATACGTGTACTCATTCCTAGTGTTGAGTTCAAGTATACCCCAAGGGGGACAACGCTCCACGTGGAATTTCATTTACCCCGCCTCCCTGTGAAAAATACAATTGTCAACAAAATATGCATTTATTCAAATATTTATAACACCCGTTAAATTTTAAATTGAAATGACTATTGAAAAAAATATGAGTTTCCAATGAACATTTTCTTTAATTTTAGGTAAAAGGCAAAAAAAAAAAAAATGCAAAACAAAATCCGGGTTTAAACCCGCGACCCTTAGGATGATAAAAGATATCTATGATCAGGCTACGACAAACAGTAAGAAGACAATATAGAATTATTTAACATAATATATAATATCCGCATAATAACAGAACTTCAAAAAGCTCCAATTTCGAAACTTAGTCAGTCCGCAAAATTCTGATTTCACCATTGTTTTTAAATAGGCAATATACATATATTAAAAAAAAAAAAGTGAAAAATTAGATTTGTTCCACATAGTTTTTTCGCCATAATTTTATATTGAAATTCCCTTATAAAAAAAAAATACTATATTAAATTAAATTTTTTTTTTTATCACAAATTAAGACTCTTAATGAACCACTTGTTAAATTTTGAAGCGTTTCTGTTCAAGTTTACAACAGAGCACCTACCGAATAAACATTGCGTAGAAAACTTGTGGGTTTTAAAAAGACGTCATGTCCGCCCGAAAAAAATATAGATTAAAGAAAAAAAAATGCGAAAGCTTTTCTGGTTAGTTGGACCTCACTCCGAGTTAACTACAAAAAAACAAACGTCTACTATATGTAGACGTTGTACGTATCATAAAACCAATTTGGATCTATGGCATTCGACTGTTGGGTTGTGCCAGTAAGTATAACAATGATATAACGCAACGGTGTCAAAACATCGCTCTTCGGACCATCACTGCCTGTCGGTTTGAAAAGAAAACGATGTCAATTACCGTGCTGCATACAATGGTTGATGAGGGTGAACAAATTTCCAGGGACTTTCAACACAGCTCGTCACTGCCACGCAAACAAAACCGACGACCGTGGTGTGCCTTTGCCCGTCACTCGCTGACTGTTTCCCTACGAAAAATATAAGTTGAAAATATCGTTTCATGAGGGATTTTATTCAGATTTTAATAGCGCGGCGTACAGACGATTTTATTCGCTGACGACCGCAACGGCGGGTATAAATTCGCCCAATGTTACCAGCGTTACTGCTAAATGTTATAGACATAGATTGTAGCTGATATTGAACGGATTTTTTATTTTATGTTAACTATCTACAATATACAATATACAATTTTAATTGGTATTTCCTGACCGTTTCATCAGCGTTCGACCCGAACCGCCGCAGGGTCTAAAAATCCGGAATTTAGCACGGAGGTTTATTATATTTCGTATAATGATAATATATAAAATTATTATAATTTTTTATATATATATATTATATATTTATATTATTTTTTTTTTTGCCAAAACCAAAAAACCTATAATATTATATCAAAATGCTCTCCAAAATTTACAGCCCCCAAAATTTGATCACCCGGGACTTCTGCCCCCCCCCCATTCCTCTTAAATACGTCATTGGATACGATATTGATAGCATTGATATAACATCATGTTGTTCTGTAGGTGTTTCTACACTTAACAGCAATAATTGTATACTACCCGCGAGAACTGCGATCATAGTAAACGCATAACACTGCAACGGTTATCGCCCGTAGACGAACAGCTGCAATCATTTCTATACGCACTCAATATGACGAGCGCACATGCGTATAATATTATACAGTTTGAACAACAGTTTTTCTCATTTTGTATTTTACTGTTTTGTTATTATAAACAATAACTCGGTAGAACACGCGCGCAGACATCTTGTACCATACATGTATAATTGAAATTTCGCCTGGAAATCGGTGTTTCAGTATATCTGTCTGTCCGCCATACATATCTACAGTTTTATTCCGGTTTCATTGAAACATTTATAGTGAAAATACGTGGAATATGATACCTAGATATGTCGTATACTTTTCATCTCGAAATGAGCGGGACTCGTTTCCACCAAAATGAACCTTTTTCTTTCCATCAAATTATTTATTGTATATTATAATGTTTAAATGTGTAAATTTGAACTGTGCCAAATTTAAAGAACTTTTCGTGCATCATCAGGTCAAGAGTCAAGGGGCATAGTTCAGTTGAATTGCTGACTCGCAACACAATATGCATAGAATAGTTTCAGGTATAGTATAGAGTGAGCAATATAATTAAACCAACCACTGGACACCGAATACGTTGATATTAATATCAGATTGAAGTATTGAACGGAATATTATTGCAAATAAATTGTTAAAAAAAGATGTCCTAAGACGGATGCAGCCACTGTTATAGATAATTTAATGTATACCTGTAAGCAACGACAAACCACTGCTTACGAAAAAACTATTTTGAGCGGAGTTCAGTTGATAATGATGCGTTGTTAACAATATATATGCCATATTATGGTAAAATAATTAAATAGGCATTATATACTATCATTAATAATATTTGTTTGATGTACCAATTTCCCCGTTTTTCCTACGTTTTTCACGATTTTCCCGGTTTTTCAAATTTTATGAGAAAATCGAAAAATGACATCTCTAAAGTACTTCTTTAGTAAAATTTCGTTTTAGAAACATTGTTATCATTATAAGTTGGAGCAAGTCTTCCGGGTGAAAAGTTGTGTACAGAAAAAAAAAAGTAAACATCTTTGTATATGTATCTTTGACTACAAGCTTTTTCGCTCTTTTCAGAATCTAAAATTAAACTGCAATAATATTATTATCAGTGGCGTATTTACGGAAGAACATCTTCTCCTTAACTATATTTTTTAGTATTTATTATTTTATATGAATACCTATGTTTGAATTCAAATTTGTTTACTTTTAAGTCGGAAAAATAAAAAATTTGATATTATGTTGATAGTATCTATATATGAAAAAACTCATTTCTATTAAGTTTATTAAGTATTAAAGTTTTCTATTAAGAAAACTCGAACGGGTTTAATGTATACATTTCCTTGTTTGAACTGGAATCTTTATCCAAAAAAATATACTATAAAGGAAGTTAGATTATTTGCTAAATAGTAAATAAAGCTAATTATTATTTACCTGTATCTGCAGTTCCTTAGTTATTTGATATGATGATTCCAACGATAATTTTAGAGCAAATTGAATTATATAGTAATTATAAAAATATACCTATCAGTCATTAAAAATCGATCTCTTTTTTTTTCAATACGGGCATCTACAACAAGACACAATTTGAAAATTCAATATCTCTCTTACTATTAAAATCCAAAATACGCCGCTGATTATTATTAGGTATGTTAATTATGTACATATTATATTACAGTGTATAATTTATTGTTTAAACCTCTCTCTCGTCTCTTGTTATAATAATATTATGATTATCAGATTATAAGACAGTAACACATTATATTTTTAGGTCGGCACGACAAGTGAAAGTTCGAAGTATTTAAATTGTTTTTAATTTAAACGAAATAAAGAAAGTATAATATATACCATACAGGTATATATGCGTGGCGGCGTAGTTGAGAATAACTACGATATGATATTATGGTATACTTATTGTTTGAAATAGAATTTATAATGTAAATAATACGTTATTATAAAAATATAATATAGATATAATGTTCAGCGTACGTGCGTTTTGACTTGTTTAAGTCGACTATCGAAGATTAATTACCGAGGGAAAATTCGCACACAGATATGCATTGAATTTCCCTTTTATTTTCCCAACTTCTCACCTACAACAGTGGCGCACACATCGTGTATCCGTTTTTTTTTCTTAAAGTTACTAGTCGTGTGAAGACGATGACTCTTTACTGAAACGTGATTGTCGCATTATTTCATTATATATTTTAGGCTAGGTACCTCTATAGCTTTTACGTCCGTATTTTTTTAAAAACTCTTTAGGTATGTATGTATAATAAATAATCTACAAATTTGAATTTTAGATTCTGAACGCAGCTTATAAAGTAGCCAATTTTCTATATGATTTAAGTTTTTTTCTGCTTATAAATAACTTTTTTGTCAAAATTTTGCTCTGATTATCAAATTAAGGTGCGAATTTCGGTAGCAAATTTTGCTTAGTTAATTAATTTGTTTTCATGCGTATTTTACAAGTGGCCCAGAATATACACTGTATGTATGCACGGTTTTTTAGAATCTATTAAGATTCATTTACGGGACAAATTGCGTCCTCCTTTTCTCCCTGTTTTTATTTTACCTCTATGTTGTCCACCACGCTCGGCAACATTAAATCTTCTCTTACCTTGTTCGAACGCCTTTGGATAGAACGTCTTCTTGGTCATTTTTTATCTGGTGTCCATTATTCATTATTAGTCCAAGTACCCACGTCCGATTCACTTCAGTCTAGTGTTTTTTAAGATTCCTATGTTATTCTTGTTTCCCATATTGTGTCTTCAAATCTCCGTTCGTTCTTATCTTCTACCCCATTGAAATTTTTCTTCATTGTCATTGAACTAATTTTGAATTATAGGTTGGATTATATATAAAATACACATAACATGCTTTGTTCGTAAATACTTACGAGCAGAAGTGGTCCAATTGTGTATTAAGTGAAGCGATCGGCCTTAGTCCAGAAAGAGTGGGTGTGTAGAGACGGGTTGGGTATTCGATAATTGAATCTATAGTAATTTAATAATATTAAATTAATGGTAATACTGTCAATGAAGACTAAAGAACTCAAGACTCAAGTTTGTGTAGCTTATTTTCTTAAAAGAAATTTATCTACTTGGGAGGTCATTTTTTGATTATTTAAGTGGTTTTCATAATATCTGGGAAAAACCTAGATAAAATGTCAGAATAACGGAAAATGTACGAAATATAGGAATTAATTGAAAAAATATTTCGGTCTTCTCTTTTCCTATGAACAACTTTTCTACCAACAGATCTCTTCTAATTTACAACGATACCTCTTTTTCTGAAAGGAAATTTGACTGGAAGGTACTTTAGGGAGGTCAATTTTTCGATTTTCCCAAGAGTTTTCCCAGCAAATGTGAAAAATCGGGAAAAAACATGGGAAAATCGATACAATATTAAACAAATAGTATTAAAGAAAATATATAATGTCTGTTTATTATTTTACCATAATAATGAATATTACAACATATATATTGTTGATAAAGCATCGCTATCAACTGAACTGCGCTCAGAATCATTTTTTCGTTAGCAATGGTTTATTGATGCTTACAGATATACATTAAATTACCTATAACTGTGGCTGCAGCCGTTTCCGTTATCATGGTACGTTTTTCTTTTTTCTTCTAAATTTCTTCCTTTTTAATATCCTGTAGTTGTATTATCCTAAAGTTTTCATTCTCATGAATAGTATTAGAAAATGTGGTGCTAAAAAT